GTGGAGATAGTGCGACGGGAAATTTGGGAGATGTGAGGTTTCCAGGATAGGGATTGATCGAAAGTAACACCTAGGTTTTTAACGGTGGTGTAGAATAAGATAGGTGAGTTGTTCAGGAAGAGATTGGGAGATACCGGGGAGGATTTGAGGAGTGAAGGGGATCCGATCAAGATGGCTTTTGTCTTCTCGGCGTTCAGAGTGAGCCTATTGAGGTTTGCCCAAGCACTTATTCTGTCAATGTCTTCCTGAAGTTTTTGAGTGGCATCTGAGATATCTGTCGAATTAAAGGAGAGGTAAATTTGAATGTCGTCGGCATACAGGTGGTATTGACAGTGCAGGATAGAGGATGGGAGGTCATTTATATAGATGGAGAAAAGGGTGGGGGATAAGGAAGAGCCTTGTGGGACGCCTCTGGTCAGAGGTAGAGATTCTGATGGTGGGTTATTAGGAAATTACAACGTACTGGGAACGACCGGTTAAGAAGGATTGGAACCAATTAAGGGAACTAGAAGAAAAAGAGATATTTTTAAGTTTGGTTAGGAGGATGTTGTGGTCTACTGAATCAAAAGCTTTGGAGAAGCCTAGGAGAATAAGGATGGTTAGTTTCTGCTGATCTATGGCTGTGTGAAGGTCTTGGGAAATTTTGATTAGGGCAGACTGAGTAGAATAACCAGGCCTGAAACCGGACTGGTAGGGATTTAGGAGATTATTGTCCTCTAAAAAATGGGATAGCGGGGATTGGACTAACCGCTCTAATGGTTTTGAGAGGTTTGAAAGGAGGGAAATCGGTCGGAAATCATTAGGAACTGATGGGTTTGAAGTCTTCTTCAATGGGCGTACTAGGGCGGTTTTCCAGGATGTAGGGAAGGTAGCATTTTGAAGAGAATAATTGTATATATGATAAAGGATCGGAAGAATGGATGGCAATGCGGCTTTAATCAGTCTGACTGGGATGTTGTCGGGACCGTAATCATTGGTATGGGACTTCTGAATGGATTTAAGGAGCTCATCTGGTGTAATATGGGAAAGAAAGAAGTGATCAGGATTAAAGGAAGAGAACATAGGAGCCAGACTGGACTTAGGAGATGTGGTTGCAAGAGGACTTAAGTGTTATTAAGTAATTTGAAAGAATTTTTTCTGTGAATGATTCATTTTTATCAAAGATGAAATAATGAAAAGCCATTAATGCTTTTATCTCACATTACCTTTTATACCTAGTCTTATTTTATTTTTGGGGTTGAATAATTTCATAAATTCATAGATCATTAATACCCATATTCAAAATACTGTAAAATGTTTTCTTTTTTGTTTAGATTTTAATGTAATAGTTAAATTTAATAAAATATTTAAGTCCATTTAATCCTAACTATTTGTATTTTATTAGAGAAATTTTAAGTTATATACATAATTAATAATCCACTAACAAAATTTTACACTATTATATCACATAAATTAATTATTTTATTTTTATTAAGAACTTTTCATTATTGTGGTATCTCAATACTTGGTAAGATCTTTTTGGCAGGATTTTGAATGACATAATATATTTCATGCTTCCAAAGTAAATATTGTCAATATGTTTTTTTCCCATTATTGTTAAAATTGATAAGGTTAAGCACTCTTGAACCAGCTTAATCACTGCCCATTTGGCTACCCCACCCTCTCACACGGGATTCCGACTTTGTGCTCTTCTCTTAAAGTGGTGCCAGATTAATTTGTTTGACTGTAAGTCTGAACTCTGTTGTGGCCACACCTAGCATTCTATCAGATACTCATCTTAGCCCTGGAGCCAGGGCCCAAAAATCGACCTGATCGCAGTCGAAGGTTTGATTGTAAATTACGAAAGTGTATGTTATTCTGAGTAAAAAAAACCTTGTCTGCCGTTCCGGAGCCGCTGCTTTCAAAAATGGCGGCTGATTTAAAGAATATTAGGCCAATAATTTGAGGATCGAAACTGGAAATCCATTGCGAAAAATGTGAGAAAAGTTTCTATTTTTTTAACTTGTATATATGGGTTTAGACATGTAAAAAACAAAATTGCTAACGCAGGCCACCAAGGGAAAACTTTTTACAGCCAAAAAAGTCAGATTTTTTCGGTATTTTTTGGGTTTTTCATCTATAACTCCTAAACAATGCATCAAAGAGAAAAATATGTTCTTTAATAAATTAAAGAACGTTAAATTTTGCGTAAAACGAGTACATATACTTTAAAATTTGGTTTCGCGGTAAGGTATAAAACCACGGTCAACCAACTCCGAGTTTTGCCAAATTTGCCAAAAACTGGGACAAATTACTATAATTGGCCCTGTAACTTGGAAATGAGTTCCCTCAGAGGAAAAACCTATAGAATCAAAGTTTTACAGCATCAAATTTCACGTATACTCAGTATCAACTAATTTAATGTAGGTCACTTGCTGCGAACAAAATCGGTAATCTCCCGATGGCTAGAAATTGGTAATGAAGGTAAACGTGATTTTCAATATTTCAATAGTATGGGTGTCTATTCTACTGAGTTAGTTTTGTTTAAAGTCTGTTACATGCAGTATAAGCCTCTTTTCCACCTCTCAATAGCAAAAGATTTTGGTAAACGATGTGCCGAAATATACCGAATTTTATAAAGGAATAACGAATCCCGATTCGAGATATATAATTGGCCAACAATAAAAATGTCAGTACCCAGTAAACGTAAAATTTGATGCTCTACAATTTAGATTCTATGGGTTTTTCCTCTTAGGGAACTCATTTCCATGTTACAGGGCCATTTATAGTAATTTGTCCCAGTTTTTGGCAAATTTGGTAAAACTCGGAGTTGGTTGACCGTGGTTTTATACCTTACCGCGAAACCAAATTTTAAAGTATATGTACTCGTTTGACGCAAAATTTAACGCTCTTTAATTCATTAAAGAACACATTTTTGATGCATTGTTTAGGAGTTATAGATGAAAAACCCAAAAAATATCGAAAAAATCTGACTTTTTTGGTTGTAAAAAGTTTTCCCTTGGTGGCCTGCGTTAGCAATTTTGTTTTTTACATGTCTAAACCCTTATATACAAGTTAAAAAAATAGAAACTTTTATCACATTTTTCGCAATGGATTTCCCGTTTCGATCCTCAAATTATTGGCCTAATATTCTTTAAATCAGCCGCTATTTTTGAAAGCAGCGGCTCCGGAACGGCAGACAAGGTTTTTTTTACTCAGAATAGCATACACTTTCGTAATTTACAATCAAACCTTCGACTGCGATCAGGTCGATTTTTGGGCCCTGGCTCCAGGGCTATCTACCATTTGTGATCTGTGTTGTCCTCCATAACATGGATCCCTCAACAACATATGGTGTAAATGGCATTCAGTGCTCTTTATTGTCTAAGTCGAACAAGTACCTCTATGACCTTCCTCGCAACCGAACCAACTCTGTAAGGGCATCTTAAGAAATGCCACTCTAGAACATCAGTGAGCCTCCACAAAATGCTACCTGGGGAACCGTACCTCTCTCTTGGGCGTCTCCATGTTTAAATATGACCATCTGAAGAGTGAGGGTGGGATTAACTCTCACCTCATCTCTACAGAGAACTCTCTTCCAAAGTCCTTCACATAGCCTTGTGCGAATTGAAGTCTGTCCATTTTGTGAACTGTGGTAGCAAAGGGACATGAGCAGGATGTCAAGCCCTAAGGTTACATTCATTTTAAGCTTTCTTACAGTTCTAATGGAAATTGGCAATTTCGGACTTGTCCAATCTGATTTATGGTGAGGCTACGGCTGTCTTGTAAATGACTTATCCGGCCATTGAGACAAAAAGAAATGTGTAACAAGCTTAGTTGACGAGAAATAATAATGAGAACAAGCTTATATGAGAGGAAAAATAGTATCAGTCAAACTGTCTGTGGAAATCAAGATTTTATCCTCACAGGTAACAATGCGTTATTTATCGTTGATATTCACTCTGAAGAAATCCTCTGTAATTATGTAATGGCCACACAGATTAATGAACAAAATATATTAGATATATTCTCCATTATTTAGGATTATTTGAACATTGTTCACTGTCTGGATTATACGTAAAAATTGTTTTAGTTGAAATCATTATGGTAATATAGTATTTTATAGACTATTTTTCATTAGTATTGTTATTATTACCATTGCTTCCTCGCTACCGAATACTTCTCTACCTTCTTACATTTCATCCTTAAATATCAAGGTTGTGTGAACTTCACACATATTTTTATATTCCAGCTTAATTAATCTAGTTTTGTTCTGATGAAGAAAATTGTTGGTCTCGTTAACTTCGAACAAAGAAAAAGTTGAATTTTTCCTATGGATGTTTTGTTCTATCCATTTTATGGGTGAAAACATACCTATTAAGTGCATATCACTACAGTTAGTGCAATAGATTGTATGTAAAAATTTTTAACTTTTATTCTATGTATGCTAAAGGTGACATTTTGTAGTTTACAACTGATATAAGCAGTCTGCTACTATGAAAATTATGAAATTATATCAATAAATCATAAAAAATAATTAGTTTCTATGCTCTTCTGTAAAACACTCAATTTTTGCATGTGACCTTTTGCACAAACAGACATGCAAGTTTAGTATGCATGGTAATTATTTTTTTTTTAAACTTGAATCATCAAATATGCAATTTGCAAATGCGGAGCTCTTTTGCATTTTAGTATTCACTAATAAACAAAACACGTGAATTTCAATCCTATATGTTATGGGATTACTGAATTTACAAAATGGTTACTCCCAGAGATTTTATTCTTACACGAAAAATTTTAGACCGAGTAATACAGATATTTTTTAGCGATTGAAAATGGTGAGGAAGCTATACTGACCTTACTTGGGAGACTTTTCTTTTTTTTTTTTTAATTAAGTTGACTACCGTTGGTGCACAGATATCCTTATTGAAAACCATATTAGGTGCTCAGCTATCTTAACAGTCAACAATATGGTAATATTAATATTATTCTACAAACAACCTAAATAAGATTCTTTTAAATTGTGGGTTTGAAATTTTCTAAAGCATAAACAAATGTTGAGTTATAATCATATATTTATAGAAGAACAAAACAATTTCTAATTACAATTTTTTAAAACATGTTTATAGAGCACATTTTGTTTGAAATTAGGTGTGGAATAAGCTCCTGAAAGCTTGCTTACTTCCAATACTCAGATTTTTGTTAATTATTCTAAAAATGTATAAATATTGAGAAGATATTTATGTTTTATGCATTGTTTATTCCAACGTGTAAAAACAAAGTTCAACAAAAATTATTTGTAATACTTTAATAATGATACAGCTCATGTAATACAACATAGTACAAAAGTTGAGGTTTAGAATATAAAATATAAAAAACAAAACTAATGAGATTAATTTTCTTCTTAATTATGTATAATCTCTATCTTTATAGAAGAGAAAATATGTTATTAATAAAAAACCAAAACAAAGTACATAACAACATACATAATTTAAATGTTCTTTTTAGAACACAAATTAGTAACTGAAATATTAATAAATTAATACGATTCTATTTAAAAAAAAAAAAAAATAGATAATGAAGTTAATGATAATAATAAAAACATTACAAATTCAAAGGTGTAAAATGAATTCTTCTTTAATAAATATATTGTTCTCAATTGGTAACAATGAATAGCTACAGATTAACTTTATTCATTTTTTTTTTAAGTTTAAATTTTATTACACTTAACTGTAAAAATGTCACAGCCATTTGTATATATAGCATTTATACATATTTACAATATAAAATAATAATTATGTTTTCTATACACAAATATGTACACATTATTCAAGAACTAGGAATTAGACGTTCTCGATTTCTTGTTGTTCCTTTCAAAAAGGAACCCGAAAATGTCATCTATCTTTTCTGCACGCCCTGCATCAAACTGGAGATTACGCTCTTTTGCATCTGTGAGTAGATCTTTCCAAATGTCTGTAGTCTGAAAATAAAACATGAAAACAGGTAATTAATTTAAAATGAAGTAGAAGATTTTAAGTATAGTCTTATAAACATACACACAGATTGATAATGAAATGGAGACCTGATAACGATGTGTATTTTGAGATGAAAAAGAATTTAACTGATAAAGTGTATATATATTGTAATGTACACCTTTATTGGAAGTGGGTAAAAAGGGTTTAATAAATTAATGTTGAACAGTTAAAAGAAAATAACTGCCCTGTTGTTCCCTCAAATCAAGGAAAATTCCAAGAGGAGAGGGACAAAGAATTTTGTTTTGGCAAGCAGTCGGTGTTTGGCTGGGGTGAAGAGAGGATGGGAGAAGGGATCCTAGCTCCAGTGGGTAAAACCCAGTAATAGTATTATCTTGGAAGTTGTTTGGCGGAGAGACTAGTTGTTTGCAATCACAAGAGAGACAATCTCCCAGGGAGTTAGAGTTGAGCAGAGGAAAGTGACACCATTTTGGAAGTTGAGTTTGGCAGAACTTTGGAAAGTGTTTGAAGACAAATGAATTCAGTGCAACAAAGGTAGAAACATTATATATACAAAAATGGTTTCCTTGCCAATGCATACTTGACATTACTTTAAAATCAAACAGTGTTTAAGTTAGTTAAATTTAGTTTGTCTGGGTGTTTTGATCTGATTGTCAGTAACCCATACCTGAGATAAAATAATTATAAATTTAAAATTAATATATTAATACTCTTATAATTTGTTTTTTATTTAACTACTTCTTATTTCTTTTGGAAGTATCTTGACAGTATAAAGCGATCTTCCACAAGATCATATCACTAGTTAAAAAAATATAAGAGATGTTACAATATATATAAGATTGAGTTTGTAATTTTTAAATAAGAAATAAAGATTCATAGTTAGCTAAAAATTTGAAATAATAGTGCTTCTTGAAGGTGTGGTGGGGAATGGAGAAGTGGCCTGAGTCCACTGTAGCATGATGTATGCAGTTGTCAAAAACTATTCTGTTAAAGTGCCTCTCAGCTCTACTTTACTAACATGCATTTATAAAACTAATAAAATATATTTTAAATTAAATACTTTCATTTAGAGATGACAGGGTGAGAGAAAAAACGGAAAGATATTTCTAGGAAGGAAGGAAGGTGAAAACGCTAGTAAAAGCTAATAACTACAGGAAAAGGCCGGTCTCAATCATTCCAACATCTTGATTGCATATCAAAGATTAAATTTAAAATTATGGAAAAATTGTATGAGAAAACGAAATCATTATTTTTGAAAATGAGCATATAATGTACAATGAGACTCTGATTTTGTTAGTCAATATTGTATGCATTCGTCCACTCCAAGCAAGTACTAAATGCCTTTATGATATTTGTATGACTGATCTATAATTAATGCTAATTAAATTATCAAGCCTTTTCTCTTTTAAATTAGTAAAGAAAAACTTTTCAGCTAATATATCCCCAAATATTTGACACCCTCGTGATCTCTGCTCCAAAAAAAAACACAAATAAAAATATTCCTTAATTTCTGGATAACCGCCTAATTTTCCTTTTAGAGACACCACAATATGATTTTGACACTATTACACGAGCAATTCCAATAATAAGCAATGCCTTTTTTTCTTTCTTGTTCGGGTTACGAGGAGTTCAGTATGAGCTAAGAAACACTTGCAACCCCTAAAGTAAACATGTCTATATTCTGATAATGTGCCTCCGTCCCTACCACCTTTCTTTAATATCTTTAAATATCTCTGCAAATATGTATCAGAAAATCTTGTAACTTCTTGCATTTTTATTGCTATAATCTAGTCTTCATTGATGAATAAAAATTGAAAATTAATGCAAATAGCCAAATGAATCAGACTTTTAATACGTTATAGAATGAAACAATTCAGTAATAAATTGTATTTATCTTGAGACAAAAAAGATTTTTTACAAGATACAGTTTCATGTAAATGAAGTTTTTCAGGATAAATTGTTATATAAAAAGCCCATCTCATTTTTATTTTACCTGGAGAGAAGTGAAATTCCCAACAATGTACAATGCTTTCCTCGCTCTTGTGAGAGCAACATTGAGCCGTTGATGGTCGTTGAGGAAGCCGATGCCTGAAGTTCTCACGATGGACAACAATATTACGTCCCTCTCCTGGCCTTGATAGCTGTCTATAGTATTCACGCTAAGCTGCCGAAGCACTTTTCTGAAAACAATAGGATAATAAATAAATATACCTTTCAAACTGTTTTTAATGTTTAGTAATTTTAACTTATTTAATTAATAATGAACAAAAATTTGATCCTTTAGTCTTTCATTATTTTTACATTCACCCTAGATTTCAGCTCTTTATGGCATTTTCAAAGGAAAAAACCTTACATTATAAGATAAAATCATTTGGGCTAATTACCTTGTCACACTCTCTTATATAATACTGAACCTCTCCTCATAAGGTTGTGTTTGTTTAACATATTTTCTATTGTCAAAATAATTATTTGAAAATTTTAAAAAAACCTCCTAGTCGATTGTATTATAAAATTTTCAAACTACACACCTACCAAAAAATAAAATTGACCAAGAAATTTGTTGAATAAACATAACCTTTTGAATAGAGATTCAGTATTATATAAAAGAATATAACAAAGGCAAATCAGCCCAAAGGATTTTATTTTATTCAATCCCTTGAAAGTTGCCTAAAAGGCTGAAAAAAAAATTAATTAGGACTGAAGAATGAAATGTGATTGATTTTTTTTTTTAATTAGAAATAGAATTGAAATTGTAGCCAACAATATTAAAAATATAATAGTGGATTGATTGCTGACTGGAGTAAATAATAGAAGAGAAATTCGTTGGCATCTCCAGTCATAATAAAAAGTAAAAATAAAGAAATTATATTTTTTTTTATTTTGCCTACGTTCCGGCTCAAAGTTCAAGCCTTCATCAGGGTAAAGAAGGTAACATTTCTGTTAGTAGAATGTACATAATTTGCTGACTAAATATTTTAGATTGTGAATATTGGCTAGTAATGAAATGAACATAAGCAAGAGGTGCCAATCAATATAAATATAACATAGTTTGATTAAAGGTATACAACGGTTAGCCAAATAATATTTATAATAAAGACAATGAAGATGACCCACATGTTTGGGTTGAAAAGACTCAAATAAAAAATTAAAATATTTTTTAAAAGACTGCATCCTGAATATTTATCACCCATGATATTTTTCATAATATTATAAATTATAAAAGTATATATAATACTTATAAATCATATTATAAAAGTATAATAAGTATTATTAACTTGTCCTCAAAAAGGTCCTGTATTACTGATCGCTGTTTCTGATAAGGAACTATCAGCCCAATACTAAGTCCTTTCATGCCTGGTTCTGAAAGCAATTTACCAGCCATCTCAACGATCAATCTAGCTTCACTTAGGTTTGTTTCACTGAAAGAAAATAATTAATAAATAAATTTGTAAGATTAGTTTATTAAAAGTCAGGACAATATATATACATGTTTTGTTTCTTAACACTAATTGCAAAATGAATAATAATAATATTTACTTTGAATCCTGGACAAGCGTATGCGTGACGATAGCATACGGTTTGAATGGTCTCTTTATTGCCAAGAAGGAAGGAGTGGTCAGCTGCCCGTTGTAGAACGCCTTCGAAGGAAACTTGGCAATCTCTGGATGCATGCGGTGCTGAGCGGTCAGCATATAGACAGGTGATGAAGGGACGCCAGTCCAAACCTTGTACAGTCTGGCAAATAATGATTGGCACAATCCGAATTTCTTCGCTGTCTAAAAACAGTCGTTACAAAAATTAAAATATTTTAAATTTCTGAAGAAATATTCGACTGCACATATTATGGTCAGGAAGTTGTAGTCAGTGGGAAACACAAATGAATATAAAAAAATTAATTTATTTTTTGAGCCGACAATTTGACCAATGTTTCCAAGGCCTTCATCAGGACTAAGGAAGACTAGATAACGACCAACAAATTATTAAACAACTATTGCAAAAAGATATAAGAACCAAAAATACATTATCTGGTAATAAATAAATTATAAGAAACGAATAAAAAATTAATTCCATAGCAAAACATTTTTATTAATTTTTACAAATTTATTAATAAGCAGATAATGTATATTTAGTTCACATTAGAAGATATCCCTTAAGTTTAACAGTTAAGTTACAAGATTGAGCTATCCTCGAACTAATACTAACCCAGCGTTCTACTGTTGCTGTCACTGTGACATGTTGGGTGACTGTAGTAAGATCCCTCATTTGTGAAGAGTGAAATATATTAACCTCAGTATTTTAATATTATATAAAATACAATATTACAATAAAATTATATTAATATTTAATATTACCACTAGAGGATTTTTTTTTTTTATTTTTAGAATTTTAACTTATCATAGGCTATAATACATAGTAGAATTTTAATTTTTTTAAAACTTGAACATACATGATAAGTATTCCAAGGCAACTATGGCATCTAGTAGGTGATAGCTAAAATAAGTGGTGCATGAGTTATCTTAAAAACAGTACATTTTACGGATTTATAACACACAGCCCAATATTTCCATAAGTAACTTTATGGAGTCTTCCTCATGCCCACACTAAAAATATTTAAAACAAAATTTGTTTGGTCTTAATCAATTAACTTATGAAAAGTCATAGTTTTGAAACCTCCTACAGTTTTCAATGACTTTTATTACAGTTGAAGCATGGACTTAAGGATCGAAATTGGGAACTGCCACTTCTCCATGAAATTCTCTTTCTTTTGACATCTTATTTGCCAAAATACATCGCTTCTGAGATCTAGAAAAGGGTTTTATACTACCATATTAAGTATATAGTAGATTCCAAACTGGACATCATTCAATGTGATATGAACAAAAAACAACATTTTTAATCGGTAAGAACATTCTGAATAATAGAAGAACCTTTTGTCACTAAATCTAACCATCTAATAAATGAGAGTGATTGAAATATAGTAATCAAACAGTCAGTTGCTGAGTATTAGGGAATGACTGAAATAGCAGAATATAATCCATTCGACTTTACAAAGATATATAATACAGACAAAATAATACCTGTGAAGCTACAAACGGTGGCAACTGCTGTGGGTCACCAACTAAAATAAAGTTTTTGACATCATAGACAAGGGGCAGGAGTGAATCAGCTTCTGTCGCTTGAGTCGCCTCATCTATTATACACACCCCCACTTCTCTCTTCTCATCTCCTGCCCTGATAAAAAAAAGTACCATTTCTTTTAAAAGCACTGATTACAAAAGTTTTTTAATACATAATATTTTTTTTTTTTTTTTAACTTTTATTATGAAATTTACAACTATATTAGTATGAATACCTCAAGTAAATGTGTACAGAGGAATATAATCACATGAAACACGCTTGTTGAGAAACTACCCATTGGTAGCACTCTAATTAAATCTTTTTTTTCTTAAATAATTTTAAGTAATTTTTGTATGTATTAAGTTAAGATATTTACAGAACATTATTAATTTGTAACATTTATTTTAAAATAAAAATAATAATTTAATGTATTTAAATAATCATAATATTTATAAAATTAAATTTAATTATATAACTTTTTCTGAAAAATAAAAGTTATAAAATATTGACTATTGAATGAAAAAAAAATCTAGATGACACTGAATCAAGTTCATTGACAAGCAATCTTGTAAAATTGACGATTAATTCATTCCAAGTTAAATTTTTATGAAGAAGCTTTATGCAAGTGGTGTGAACTGTATCGTGCTTTTGTTAAGTGAACTGTTTTGTTGTTTTTAGTGTCCATAAAATATGTTAATATACTTAATTTTATTAGCTACAAGAGCATTCTTTATTTTTTTTTGTAAGTTTCATATTACATCAGGCGTATTTTCATGATCATATGAGTGGCTTAATATCAAAGAGGAACATCTGACATTTTCAGATATTAGAGAAAAGGTAAATTTTTTAAAAATGATAAATGTCCGTCTTTGATATGAGGCCACTCATATATGGTGAATATAAATTGTTAATACTTATAAAACTAAAAAGTTTAAAATAAAAAATAATTTAATTTAAAAAAAAAAAATTACTACACAAATAACCGTTTGTTGTTAAGTACAGAAGTATACATTTCTACTCAAACACATGTGTGGGTTGTTAGTGAAGTTGATATCTACAGATATTGAAACTTGATATAGTAATAGTAATAGGCGGATGCCTTCCAGTCTAAATTATGGATACTTGCAATTAAATTCTATATATCTTGCATCTGTTTATATCAGCATAAAGAAAGCTCGTTGAGTTCCGTTCAATGTAGAAGGTACCCAGACTACTATGTTAAGTTGCAATATCCATAGGCATCAACTTCACTAACAAACTACCAATGTGTTTAAGTGGATTCAAAAGTATATACATTCTGTACATGGCAGGGTTATTTCCTAAATCATGATTTATTGTTTTATTTTGTTTAAACACTCTCTAAAAAATTGAATGCTGACAAATCCATACAATATGTAGTACCAAAAACTTAAACTGTGAGACTTAAACATGATTAATCTATATAAATTTGTTTCTGTAATTTTTAACAATAAATAAATTATTGTATATAATAAATAATACTGTAAAAAAGTAATGTCTTTCAATCAATTTAGCTTTTTAGTTCACAGAATGACTAACTGAAATTTCAACATTTTTAACTATTAATTTTTCAACACTGCAATCCACCTTTTCTGGAATCACTGTCTGTACAGGTATTATAAATTTTCCAATGAGAAATATCACTAAAATGATTTTACTAAAAAATGTTGAAATTGGAGTTAGTCATTCAATCAACTGAAAAGCTCAATTATAAATAATTATTGTATATCTCACCAATAATAATAAATTAAGAACATAAAAAAACATACCTCGACATTTCACTGAATGCTTTTGTAATTCTTCTCTGGGTACACGATCCTAGTGTTGTGGCAATAATGTCAGAGTGGTAGATTACCTTCATCTCTTCATCGAAAACCATTCTTTCTATTTCTTTCTGTCGCGTGTCACTGCTAGAATCTTTATTATTCTAAGGACAAAAAGTTTATTCCTTAAAAATTATTCTAATTTTGGACAAGATAAATATCTAACATTATAGGAGAAGATGGCCAGAGTGGCAGTCATAATAAAACAAAAAAATGAAAAGTTTTAAGCTATTTTTACTTTCATTTACCTATATATGTAATAAGTAGTATTTTGTATATAGTATGTTAAACCAACATTTTCTTTACTGATTTAGCTTTACCTTTACTTTTTATGTTTGTTTTTATTTGGCCAGATACAACATTTTAATTTCATAATTTTTTGTTATTCTGAAGGGACTTCGTCCCAGAATAAAATTATTTTCTATTCTATTCTAAGTAGTAAGAGAAAGTATTGTGATCAAGAAAATTTTCGAATCCTAGTTTTTAACGGATATACACGTTTTGAGGTCTTCTGAGTCCAAAAAACAAAGTACCACAAAATGGTCTGTGTTTATGTGAGAACAGCCTATCATAAAAACGAAAATTTGTGTGAAACTGACATTACGTATTTAAGGTATGTCTATGGCTGAGATGTTACAGCTACTTTTTCATCAAAATTAGCTAACTGGAAGGGCGGGCTACTTTATATCATCACTTTTACACATTTTTACGATTTTCTCGAAAACGGCTATAATGATTTTAATTTAATTAATTATTTCAGTGTGAAATTCAGCAGTTCTTAATATAAGTAGGTCTTATTCACATTTATGTTCAACAACAGGTCAATTTTCAAAATTTCTTCCTCTGAAACACCTTAAATTTTCACAATATTTCTCACTTCTTCTTCGGGGCATACTATTTATTTTCAAGTTAATTTATTATTAGCCATATTTACATCAATTTTTAAAAAAATTTTGTCACTTAATGACTACTCATCATAATGACGACGTTTCAGCTCGTCAAGCCATTTTCAAGTCTAAAATACCCATCATGTACCTGTCCTTTTCACTTATGCGAATTGCAAGCGTCTACTCATAATAAAATTCCTTATTATTGTCATGTTCACCTTTTTTCTGAGTCACCCACATGTCATCCATCTCATTTCTATTCAGTGACTTATAGATTCAACCTTCAAACTTATAAATTCAGTCACTGAATAGAAATGAGATGGCTGACATGTGGGTGACTCAGAAAAAAGGTGAACATGACAATAATAAGGAATTTTATTATGAGTAGACGCTTGCAATTCGCATAAGTGAAAAGGACAGGTACATGATGGGTATTTTAGACTTGAAAATGGCTCGACGAGCCGAAACGTCGTCATTAAGTGACAAAATTTTTTTAAAAATTAGTGTAAATATGGCTAATAATAAATTAACTTGAAAACCTTAATTTTTTTTTTGGTTAAATAATTAATCATTTCATGTTGTAACATTCTATAAAAAATGGATAAATATAAAATGTGAAAGAATTTGATAATTAACTTAAGGATATAGTGAACAATAATAGAGAACCAAAGAAACCTGAGTGCACCAGAGCTTCACCACCAAAAGACTTCAATACGCGACACGTGCTTAACAAAATACAGGCTGCATTAATATTATATATATACATATGCGGTTTTCATAAATATGGGGTTTGTGTTATTTCAATGGTCTTAATGAGTTGTTACAGATTAGCTGTAAGTTTTAAGGTTTAGCTTCGTTAAAAATGCACTTTGAAAACTTTAGCCCAATCTTGGTATTAAAAGTAGTTTGATGCATGCAACAGATTTTTATGTTTGCTTTGACTGCCATGCTAATCATACCCTAATTGAATAATGTCAACTATATTATAAATGATCTCGCATTGTATTACAATAAAATATTAAACATAAACAATGTCTACCAAAACCTTTTAATGCAATTTTAAAATATAAACATTAATTTTTTTTAATTGAATTTATTTAAAAATTAACCAAAAATTATTTCGGTTGCGCTATAGACTATGTAGATATTTGGCTGCGCAATGAGGTTTACTAACAGACGTGTATTCCTGTTTATTTTGTGTGTGTCCCATCAGAACAGACAGTCTGAATGGGATCACCAAATCTTACATTGTGCCGCCAACTCACTCAGGATCAAGGGAAGTGATTAATAGGATTAGATCCATGGATCAAATAAACTGCGGTTTATCAGGTTGCCAGGCAATGCATGTTTTCCACACACATTAACCCACTCGATCACCCAGCCCAAAAAAAGTTATCCTTCTCACTCTAGCTAAAAATATGTTAGTTACTGCTTGGATAACCTATCCTTCCTGTCCTAGTATGTAAGAACATTATGTCCAAACAAATTAGATCGAGCAATGTTTTATTTATAAGTAATGCTGATCATATTTGGTAGCTAGATATTGCAGCATACTTATCGATCCTTAAAAAAAAAAAACTTGTACTACTACAATCCATGAAGGGTCGGTCTTGGGTTCAGTACTATTTAGGGAAAGTACTGTTTCAAGGTCAACGGTTGTGCAGGGAGGGGATCGGACCAGGATCACACTCAACCGCCAGATTTCTCCCCTTAGTCAATTATTTAATTAAGAGTCCCCACTTTATAGAGGCTGGATGTAACCCAGGATCGTCCCACGGCCAATGAAACAGAATAAATAATTTTTCTGCTATGAGCCGGGATTCGAACCTGGGACCTTGAACATTGGAAGCTTAGTGCCCTACCACTGAGCTATCCCACTCTCCCGTTGATCCTTAATTAGATATAATATAAAACAATTCATTTTTAGTTTACCTATTTATCACAAAACAAATTTTAATCGATAGCAGTTCTGATTCATAACAGCAAATTGGCACTCTTGTCTCTAGTTTGCAAAATTCCCAGATGTTCGGTACGTTTTCATAAAACTGACTTTTCTAGATTCAAACAATTCCCTGGCTTTTTTGGGTATATCACGTCTCGTAGACACCCTGAAGATAAATATTGGTTAAGAAGAGGAATCAGGCATATTTTTATAGAAACCTAAATGTGCTATTGTAAATAAAAACTCTATAATGGTTTATTAATATTTATCAAAACCTAGTCAAAAAACCTAAAAATGGCAGTATTTTGCACTAATAATCATGATGCACTTGTGTAAACAAAGGGCTGACAATAAATTGTTTGATAAACACTTTCAGAAACTTAATGAACGATCACCATAACTTTTTATGAGCAAAATGGCAAACATTTAGATTGATAGTATAATTGAGTTTATAAATGTTTTAGGAAAAAGATGGAATTGATGAGATAAAATATAGAATATAGTATTTTTTTTTAAATTGTATAAAATTAAAATTTTCTATGAAATTGAGTTGAATATTAGTGTTTCATCTTTGTTTATTATATTAGGGAAATATAAAATTAAGTGTGTCATGTGGATGGGAGATTTATTGCAATATTAAGGTTTATATTTGTTGTATAATAAATTTAAATGGCAATTTGTTTTTCATCATGGAAACAAGTTATATTTAAACAAAAGAACACATTACAGGAGTGAATATTTTAAGTGAGTGTTTAATCAATATACAAAAAAAGAAAGTAAAATTATAAGAATAGTAGTTCTTTGTCGTTTTTAAAAAATAATTTCCAACTATTTGGAAGTTCTCTAAATATCCTCATATTCATATATATTAGAAATCTGATGAGGGCACTTACTACGACAGCTTCAAGGCAAGCGATTCTCTTTTGAACCTGTTCATATTTTCGCTTGTAGCTTTCAACTTTTGGAGATTCAGGATTCTCGAGAGCATTAGCAACCATTCGTTCTGTCGCCTTCTGGAGAGAGAGCTAAAACAAAAAAAACAAAGCTAATTTCAAGAATATTAGGATATGAATGGTCCATACTGTTCTAGGCATATCTAAAATGAGTAATATATACAAGTTATCTATAACTGGTTTAATCTAGTTTCTATCTTAAATGACCAATAGTTTAGCAATAAATGCATTTTTGAATCGAATCTCCTTGAAACAATAAAATGAGGAACTCTTTTATTGATAAATTTATATTGTTTGGTAAATCAAAATCGAAGGATAACAAAAATTAAGATTGAGAAGACATGTAATAGTTTCAACCCTTAGTAAAAAACATATACTATCTATAAGTGACTGGAAAAGTAAATAAGATAAAATGAATTATTTTAATATTATATAAGTTTAGACAAACAATGGTCTATAAGAAATAAGAGCTTACAATGCTAGTTTGGTTTCCCATGATTCTGACATCAAATTTAAGAAAAATAAGTTAAACATTTTGATGTGCTAATATTTTTTCATTATTAGCAAAAATTTTAAATAGTGTCCTCATTTCTTTATGTGGTAAAAATGAAAAAGAATTATGGAGAGAAAACTGTCTGCGATAACCCTCTAACACCATCATTTTCTTCTTCCATCGGAACCATCTATCCACAATGTGATTATCTGTTCCAATGGCATCTATTTATTGGATCTTATTAAGCAGCACTTGATAGATTTTTTTTTTCTGATCCTAATAATTACTACATTTGACATTCCAAAGGCAAGGATGGCTCCGGTAAACTTCAATAAACTCCAAAGGAAACTTTTTTTTGGTGTTTTAATTAACAATTTTATGCTACTGATGTAGGGACAAAACTAAAAACTTTATACTTTTTATATTCTTTAAATATATAAAAATAAAAATTGGGAAGGATATAAATTCATGGAGGTTATTAAAGTTTGAAGTATCCAGTAACTAATAATTTTAAACAATCATATGAAGACCTTTTTTTTTTTTATAAATTAAATAAGTTTTGAAATTTTTTCAATATTACAATTCATCAAAAAATATCTTTTATTTACTGAAAATCAGAGAATGAATTAAACAATAATGATTGAAAAAAAAGTTTGATTAAGAATAATATTAAAAATCCTTAATTTTATCCGTAACTAAACAAATTTTCTTTTTTTTTTTTTATATAAATACCTTTAGGGATATAAATAAAAATTTAATCGTTTAAATGATATCTTGTCGCAGCTAGACAACAATAGAAAGCGAATAAGCTAATCTGCAAAGAATTAAAAACATAACAAAACCTGTTCAAAATAGATAAAAACAAATAACATATTTGAATCAATATCGACATACAAACCTCCAGAGTGAATTCTTCATTTAAATTCCTCTTTTCTACTTCTTTACGAGCTAACGTACCAGTTTGTATCTCTGAAACTCTGGGATGCATTTTTTCTTTACGGCCAAATCTGGTTAATTTAAATCTTTTTTCTCCTAGAAAGATAAAAACATGATTATATATTTTTGTTAGTAACAGAATAGTATAACAATGTAAGCTGATAAAATATATACATGTTTTTTTTTGTTTAAATATATTTTTTTTTTAAGAATCTGTATACAATAATTGATATAACAGGATAATGGGTTAGTAAAGAGAGAACTCATCAGTTGAATTTTAAATAAAATCATCAGTTGAGGTAAAAAATGCATTAAACAAATATGATAGTAGTAATCAGTAATTTTGTTCTTAATTTTGAAGTAGAACACTTATTAACCTAAATGATACAAGAAAATTGAGAAAAATACAAAATTATACACTCAACAATTTTTATCAATTTTAGGTATTAGAAAGCAGATACTACTGAAAAATTATGATATTTGTGAGGATTTTGGCAAACTATGGGCCATGCACAAGAAAGAGAGATGAAGAACTTGGAATAATAAAATAGATATAATTATAGGGCATAAGAAATATAAAATTATCTTAATTGAATAGGGGCTGCTCAATGTTTTATCGAAGTTGTGACTGACAATAACACAGTATTGAGTCACAGTATGTATCGTTAGTTATTTAGTGCAATAATATTTATAAAATATCTGCAGTTAAATAATAATAAAACTTAAACTATTCAGATAACAATTTAAACAACCTATCCTTATAATATAATACGTTAGTTTTTCGCAGTAATGATCCCTCTTCCGGCTCTCAAGAGCGATTTAAAGAAATCAGTAATGAATGAAAAGAAACTTTATTTTCGAATAACACAAAAAGTATACTTTTTTTTATACCATTATATACAGCCTATATTAATATAGACATGTTTTGTATTATTAATTTGAATGAACTAATGTGATTCGAATGAGAAAAATAAAATTATTTCTCCTCTCTCATAATAAATATTATTAATTTATTTTTATATTATATTGTCAGTTGTTCACTGACCAATATTCTATGCGAATTATTTATGTGGGCCAACTAGTCTTAATAATTTCATTGCTGAAAAATCACTGTAACTTGGGGAAACTTAAGGAATTACTCTGCCTTAAAAGTAAAAAAGCAGTGAAATTCCTCAGGAAGGTTTCTATCTGTTGCAAAGATTGTAAATGACCATATTTTTATAATAAGAAATCTAGATTAATTTATTTTCCTTTTTCTTTTGTAGTTCCAAGAAACATCAAGTAACATCTTTAATAATTTCATTTTTCTAAAATGGTCAAGGAAGATATTACACTTACTCGGTAATTGTTGACGTATGTCCAATAACCTCAGGCATATTTCATCAATGGCAGTATTTGAATGCGAACAGATGAGAATTTTTTTCCTTTTGTAATTATTTTTTAATTTAAATCTGTACAATAATTGTTGGACGATAGAAACGATCACCTGTGTTTTTCCTGTACCTATTTAAAATAAAATATAGGATAAGAACAAATGAATACTTAGACTAGGAAAAAAAACACATCACAATATGAAAGATAAAACCAACAACTAACCAGGAGGACCATGAATCAGGCTAATATTTGGCTTGTTGGCGAAGACAGACTGGGTAGTACACAAAACGGCCTTGCGTTGCTCATCGTTCAACGGGTACTAAAAAAAACGTTAATAATAAATGAGAATTATGACACCAAAAAAAGATTAATAAAATAGATAATAAAAAGAAAAGTTTTTAAACTAGTAGTGTAGAATATATTGTAATGATGAATGTTCAGCTGAAATTGGTAATTAAATATAGCTTTTAGTAAAAAGGCAGGATTAATTGAAGTAAAGGATAGTATTATTTTGGATTTGTATATAGCTACTTCACTAAAATGTTTTATTTTTTCTTATTTTTATTTTATTTATTGTATAAAACCTTTAGGCCAGAGAGGTAGTCTTTTCTCTTTGTATTATTTTGTTATTTTTAAAGGACTTAGTCCCATAATAAAGTAATTCTCTATCTATCTAAAGTTATTTATGAAAATCCAATTAAATATTATTCAGAGGCATACCACAAATTTAATCAGCCCACCCTTTTTTTCTTTTTATATGGAGCGTACAAATGAATATGATTATTTTTTTTTTATTTATAGAGTTAGTTTTGTTGATAGTTATATTATCAATTAAATGAAGATCTGAAATGCTCTGAAAGATGTATGGTTTATGATTGGTCAAAAAAACTAAACAAAGGTTAGCTAGGGATTCCTATGACCAGAAACAGCTGTTTGGCGTTACCTACACCCCCAAATTGTCAAAATAACTAGGTTGTATAGGCCTAACGGCTCAATATTTTTGAAGTTTACATTTTTTCTTGACTTTGTGCTCGAGTTACGAACTTATGATTGAAGTGGAAAGTAAATAGGTATTTACGATTTTTTAGTGCGTAATTAAATAGCCACAGTTTGCCGACCTGCAGATTGAAAACACCCCAATTCCGAGAATTTTTGTAAATAAAATATTTGTAAGTTACGATGAGATGAAGCTATTTACGAAGTTTCCACCGATCTTAATAATTTGATAAAAAGGAGTCTGTACCATGGACTATAGTTTTATCATTAAAAAAATATTTTATTACTTTTTTAGGTATGATTTTAAAATATTTTAATGTATCCATGGAAACCCATTCACCTTTGTATTTTTGACTAAGATGAAGGCAAGCAGTTAGTAAGAGATTCCTGAGAGCAGAAAAAGCAACTTCACCACTCCTAAAATTTTTTGTGTCTCTAGATAAGATACTTCAGGTTTCATTGCTAACCATTGTTTCATGCAATGAATTTAAATTTATTCACAACTTTTTTTACACTATCAAACATGTGAATGCCTGACAGCCGAAACATGTGGAAATAAGTAGTTTCTGGTCATAGAAATCCCAAGCTAACCTTTGTTTAGTTCTTTTGATCAATCATAAACCATACATCTTTCATAACATCCCAAACCTTCATTTAAAAGATAATATAACTATCAACAATACTAACTCTATAAGTAAAAAAATAATAACCATATTCGGACAAATATTAGCGAACATACCACAAACAATTTTCAGTGAGGCAGCACAAGAGTGTTTTAATTTTTTTAAAAATATTTAACAAACAAACAGTTATTTAATAATTATTCCAAAATTAACTATAATAGAAGCATGACAAAACCTATAAACATCTTAACAAAACAGTTGTAATGGAGACGATCAAAAGTAATAATTATAAAATTACCTCAGTGACAACTTTATTATCCATTTCCTTTTGTAAATAAGTTGAATTGTGTGTAACAGGATCAATAATAATGTGTGACAAAGGAGAACTTGCCAATTTTATCAAACTTTCAAATTCCCGTAATTCTGTTATCATATTGTAAGTCGGCTATAAAAAATAAGAAATCAATAATTAAAATTACAACAACAAATAACAATCATGATAAATGATTATTAATACGATAACGTAACATACCCGAATCCTAAGTTGGAAACCAGTAGTTAATTGCTTTTTTTGGCTTTTATATATAATAATATCGAAATAAGCACAAACATCAGGCTCTGAAAGACAAGAGAAAAAATTAAAGATAAAGATATAACTAATGGAAGAATAAAACTATTTAAATTTTATAATTGATCATTTTAATTCTATGTAAATTAATGCAGATGAGATTTTGATAATATTCAATGAGACTTATTCTTCTTTCTTTTATTCCTATGTGCCATTCAATATGGAATTGCAGTCCCAGTCCATTTCTATTTCTGACAGGTCTCTCTTGATTTTATTGAAAATTATTCAAAGAAATCTCATTTTATCCTATATGATCTTAATTAAATGCTTATCGAGAATTTTCCAGCTTTCCGATCCATACAGGATTACAGGGAGGAATACAGATTTAAACAACCCTAGTTTGGCCTCTTGGCTAATATCCGGCTTGCTCATGATTGTTTTTGAGATCTGATAATAAAGTCCATTGGTATTTTTCACCCGATTCAGAACCATCTAATGGTCTCAAGATATTAATTACTTCAAGGGGTTCAATATTAGATAAAATTCTAGACTTTGGATTCTTTCTTCTAAATTACATGATTTAATTAAAGCTAAGCATTCTTCTCTCTCTTCAACGCCCTCCTATGTAGCCTCTCAGCTTGGAGCCATAGGAGGAGTAGAATGTAAATATTGTATTTTATTTAACTGTCAAAATAGGATACATATTTGAATTGCAAATAACACGAAATTCGATCCAAGTCTACCAAGCACTCTAATCTCAAGTCAGTGCTTTCATGGTATTTATAGACTTATAGCCCCGGAGCCAGGGCCCAAAAATCGACCTCAGGCGAAGGTTTGATTGTAAATTAAGAAAGTGTATGCTATCCTGAGTTAAAAAAACCTTGTCTGCCGTGCTAGAGCCGCTGCTTTCGAAAATGGCAGATGATTTTAAGAATATTAGGCCAGTAATTTGCGGATCGAAATAGGAAATGTATTATTAAAAATGTGAGAAAAGTTTTATTTTTTAAACAAAATTGCTAATGCAGGCCACCCAGGGAAAACTTTTTACAGCCAAAAGTCAGATTTTTTTTTTTGTTTGTTTTTCACCTATAATTCCTAAACGATACATGATAGAGAAAAATATAATTGTTATTACATTAAAAAACATTACATTGTACATCGAACGAGTACATAAAATTTATGGTTTGGATATGTGGTAAGATATAAAACCCTGGTCAACTAACGCTGATTTTTACCTAATTTTTCAAAAACTGAGACAAATTATTATAAATGGCCCTGTAACTTGGAAATGTGTTCCCTAAGAGAAGAAACCCGTAGAATCAAAGTTGTACAGCATCAAATTTTGCATCCAGCGAGCTTTGCTAATTTTGCTAACTAATTTAATGTAGGTCACTTACTTCAAATAAAATCGGTAATCTCCCGATGGTTAAAATTTGGTAATGAAGGTAAACGTGATTTTCAATATTTCAACAGTATGAGTGTCTATTCTACTGAGTTATATTTGTTTTGAGTCTGTTACATGCAGTATAAGCCTCTTTTTCATGAAAGATACTGAATTTTATAAAGAAATAACGAATCCCGATATATAATTAGAATACAATAAAAATACAATGTCAGCACTCAAATTTGAAAAAATTTAGCATTGGTTGACTGTAGCTTTACACCTTATCACGTAACCAAATTATAAAATTTATGTACTCGTTTAACGCAAAATTTAACGTTCTTTAATTTACTACAGAGTACATTTTTCGCTTTGATGCCACGTTTAGGAGTTATAGAAAAAAAAAAACAAAAAAACTGACTTTATTGGCTGTAAAAAGTTTTCCCTTGATGGCCCAATAGGGGCGTTAGCAATTTAGTTTTTTACAAGTCTAAACCCATATATACAAGTTAAAAAACTAAAACTAAAACTTTTATCAAATTTTTCACAATGGATTTCCCGTTTTGTTCCTCAAATTACTGGCCTAATATTCTTTAAATCGGCCTAATAGAACGGCAAACAAGGTTCTTTTTACTCAGAATAACATATACTTTCGTAATTTACAATCAAACATTCGCCAGCGACGAGGTAGATTTTTGGGCCCTGTCTCCAGGGCTATTACTCTTCTTTTGGCTAAGCTTGAAAATGTGGTCCATCCACAATAATCTAAGTCATCGTCAAAGACAACATCCGGTGGGCTTGACTTAAGAAAAAAAATATTTGGAAAGAAAAAAATTGACTCCTCATCCATTCGGCATAGATGACCAATGTATCTCAGTTTTTTACTTTTCGACTGTGTCCCTTAAATAAGGTATTCCTAGGTTTCTCCCGCCCCCACATAAATATCCTCTCATTCCTAAATCAACGTCAAAATTTAAGATACAATTTTAGGATGGTGAAGGTATCACCAAATTGTGTGTGGAATTGATGTTAATAATTTTACTGAACTATTTATTTGTATGTCTGCGGCTTTAGCTCTACTGAAGGACTTTTTTTTTTCCTTCCTCCCCTTTTAGGCTGTACTTTTCCTGGGCTAGAGATAATGACAGAGGATTCATGCCAGAGTTAAAACTTCCATCCCCCTCCCCCAGTACCGGGAAGCAAACTTATAATTATTTGACTTTCTGTTATCTTCTGTTATCAGGTTCCTCGGCAACCCTGCCCTTCCAGAACTCATTTCTATAGATGGGTTGGTAAGTAGATGACCTAAAAGGAGTATAATTTTACAAATTTACCATATCTCTTTTTTCCATCGCAGTGGTGCAAAGCAGTTAATATATGTTATTAGCTTTCTTAACCCTGTTTGAAAGCTCTTGGTACATTTTTATGTTTCTGCTGAGTACTGCTCCGAGATAATTATACTCTATCACTATCTACAAAATTTCTCTTCTGCAGCGAACTATCACTGCTTTTTGAATCAGCTATGAAAACAATATGGTCAGCGAAAATTCCACTAATTCTTGAGCTAGGATTGAGGATTTATTGCCCTCATGTTCCACTTTCCTACAACCTGTGTCATCCTCCCTCACATAATTTCAATATTTCCTCCATAAATACTATAAAAAGGAGAAGACTAAGGATATTACCTTGCCTAACTCCTTTTCTCATGTCGAAGGTCTCAGAATCGCCTCCATTTATTCTGCTTATGCCTTTAAAGTCATGGTATGTAGATTTTATGTTTTCCTTTTAGAAACCTGACAATGGCCAACAATGTAGATTTTAAGTCACCAAAGATTAAACACCAACCTAGGCTAATTTTTTAAATAAATAAAAAATTAAACCCTTAATTATACCATTCAAAAGAGTGTTGAATTTCCTATTGGAATCTTATTTTCAATCATTATTATCATTTAAAAATTTGGCCAAACTTATAAAAATTTCGATTAAAACAACTTTTCCATCCAACTTACATACATTACATTAGTATCTCCAGATATGAGAATAATGCTACAGGAATAAAATTATGATTCAATGAAAACAAAAATAAATGTAAATAAAATTGTTTCTTTGTAAATAATAAAAGTACTTATTTTACAACAAAAAAAAATCAGAAAACTTCAGATTAAAAAACATTAACAAATTCACATAAAATAAAAAAATTAAATATTCTGTTTTAGACATAAAATATTTTCTCTCAAAAAAATGGTAAACTATAATCCAAAATGATTTCAGCAAAGTTTGTCAGTCTTGACATTTATGACAGAATTAAGCAGTTGTTACAGGTTGAAAAAAAGACTGACTACTGAAGCTACTATTAATCGGTAAATCACAACTAGAGAAACGTTGCGAGATTTATCCAGAAAGTTAAAATAAAAATGAAAAAAAAAAAAAATACATTTAATCAGGTACTTCAACATTCTCTCTATAAAATATCATCCTGAGACAAAATAGAGTTGCACCGACCTATTTGATAGTCATAGTTGCCTATTCTTTACATGACGTGATGTCATGAAGCTTTCAATTGTTGAAGAGCAGCAAATGACAATATGTTTCTCACAAAAATAAATAAGAATAGCCTTGAAATCTCTCCTGAAGCAAGGGGAAAATATAGCACAAAAAATAACATGGAAAGACAATGGTGATTTTTTTTCCCCAGGGGCATTGTTTGTCAAGAATTTCACTCTTCCTCAAAAGAGGGGACTTTTAATGAATCTCCCAATAGTGGAAACAGAGATGGCGCAGGTGTACTATGTCTTAAGGAGATTATTTTGAAGGAGACAAAATTGAATTACCTGATTAAACGTAAAATAATTATCTTTTCCACTTATATATGAACTTTCCGCACAAAACATCAATAAGTCTTCAATAGATAATGCAATGGAGGTTTTTAGTTTTGTGAAAAAATCAGGAGTCGAATTAAAGAGTTGACTGTTATAATTAAAAGTAAAAATTTAACCTTTGCCTATATATGTAGACGTAGAAAAGTTTTCGTTCAACTTTAACTTTTATTGATACATGTCATTTCAAAACAGTTATTTTCTTAACTTTTATTTTCAAACCTCATTAATAAAAGTATTTGTATAACAGTTTATATAAACCATTAACTTGAATAGGTTTTAATAAAAAAAGTAATGTACTTTTACGTTTCTATTAACAGAAAATATAATCATAATAATAATCTTTTATTTATTCTGGGACGAATCCCTTTAGAATAATTAACAAGGACATAACTGTGGGCTTTTGAGCCTCAGATATATATAAATGTATTTACAAGGTAACTAATAGATATAGTAGAGAGAAAAAGCAAAAACAAAAGTTATCTTCTAGATTAAATCGATTAAGAAAAAAAAAATGAAAGAACAATGAAATGAAAATAATTTGAAATAAACTAATAATATATATATATATATATATATATATATATATATTGAAACAACCAGGAATGGGTATTGCGGGAGTGGACAGAGGATTCAAATTGAAGGAGCTTGGAGATGTATGAAGGATGGCGGGAGTGAATGACTTGGAAGAGGAAGGATGCCAGGAAATACTTACGGCGGTAGGAAGGATAAAGCCACTTCAACTCTACATAGAAACAGGAGAGTCCTTTGGGATCCTGGAGATGAATCGTATAAAGCAATTCATCAAACGTTTTACGTTTCGCCTCGAGATCCCCAGAGACGCCTCCATATACCGTGCAGCAATAGTCGAAGTGGGGAAATATTAAGGAGGTGACCAGGAGTTCAAAAGGAAAAAGGTGTCGCAGGCTATTTAAGTGTTTTAGGGTGGAAAAGGTACGTCGGGAGATATTGGATACATGGTTTTTCCAGGAAAAGATTTGATCAAAGATTATTCCTAAGTTTTTGATGGTGGGATAAAATTTAATGGGATTATCATGTAGGAACAGGGTTGGAATATTAGAAACAGTTTTGAGGAGGTGATTAGAGCCTATTAGGATTGCCTTGGTCTTTTCCGCATTCAACTTCAGCTTGTTAGCTCCTGCCCAGTCATATATTCGATTAAAATCTTCTTGAAGCTTTTTTGTGGCGGCTAATAGGTCAGAAAGGGAGAAGGACAGGTATATTTGGAAATCGTCAACATAGATATGGTATTGGGTATCATAGCTATATAAAACATAATAATTTTTCTAAGCATTTAATATAGCAAATATTTATAAGGAATGGAACAAGATAGTATTTATTACGTTAATTCAAAAACATTAAAGCTTTTATTTTTCTAATAAAATTATTCTGATTAACAAATAAAATTTTGCATTGTATAATGTTCTTCAAAGTTAACATTCTACTCTGAGTACTCAGCAATAATAATAATTATGAACTTCTATTATAATTTGTAATTTTTTGTACTTATAGCTTGTATTTTAGAGAGAATAAATAAAATTTTAACAAATTTTTCTTTTTATATTTGTATATGTACTAAAAAGCAAAAACCTAGTTAAGGTAGAAATTTGCATTGCAAAATGCATGCATCTAAAATACTAGACTATGTAATTGAACGAGAGGTTTCACAACGAAGATGCAAGTCCACCTAGAACTCTGGATGCAAGATGCACTTGCCTCTTGAAAACCAGCCAGCTGGAAATTTCAGCGTGCACCTTTGTTGTCCTGGTCTTGCCTACTCGCCCCGACTCTCACGCTTGACTTGCCCACTTTCTTTTAAGTTACATTTCAGACTTCAATCGAACATTGTATTTCAAGGACGCTTTCACGAGATCCAACGACTTGTTAAAAGTCAAAATCTACATTTTATAAGACGCCTCAAACTTTACTGGATGGTTCAGTAATTGCAGAGACACAATAGCAGGGCTTTGCTTTGCAGCTTTATAGCAGGTTGGATGATACCATAAACAATTCCTTCTTTGTATTCGTCTTCTTCTGACTGTACAAGCTAGAATTATAATTTTGTCGTCTGAAGAGTCAGATTGTGGATTATTCATCTTTCAAACTCACGTACTAAACTAAACAGAGATAATGGATATAAACAGAAGGTGCAAGTGGCATGTGCATCTTCGGTGTGAAAGCTCCCAAACAGTTTTGAAAAAACTTTTACCTTTAATCTCTTATTGATAAAAGTTTTTTACCAATCATTAGTTAAAAAAAAAAAAAAATACTGTTCCAATCCCTAGAAAAAATAAAATATTTAGATTTAAAAAAAAAAAGAAATATCTAATACATACTCCTATTTAAAGTAGTGAGGTAATGCCTTGCGACTGGATCCGAGGTATCTCTATAGCTGTTAAATTTTACAGCTGAATAGACTAGACCAAACATAACGAAAAAAATACGTTTCCCTTCACAGGCTGATAAAGCCTATAACAAAAATTTCACAAGGTTTCAACAGTTATAATTATAACAAAATTTATTTGAGTAATTTACAACAGTAATAATTGGGTCAAATACAAAAAAAAAAATATAATAAATGATACAGCATAGTATATTTAAAGTTCTGAATAACAAACCTATTAGGCCCCAACCACATCAGTCTAGGATAAGGGGACCCTACACGGTCAATCGGAATTGCACTAATGACGTTCCGAATTGTCGTGTAAGGTAGTGAATGAAGTACTGATGGTGGTGCGCTGCGGATTTCCGAACATCCGGAAATCAAAAAAATCATTCACGAGAAGTGGAGGGGGGACAGAGGTTAGGATAGGTTAGGTTACCTAGGCCTCACGACCATTATAAATTTCTGATTTTCATTATATGTAAATAGTTAAATAATTTTTCATATCCCTTGTTTATAATTTTAAACCATCTTCAACTATTTCTTTTAAATAGTCAAGTTGGCAACAAATTTAAAAAAAAAAAATGAGGAAACTTTACAATTTACTTTAGGAAAAAAAAAACTTTAACGTTGTGTATATTTATCAGTTCTTTTCCCATTTTCCTCAACAAATTTATTATTTTCGCAATACCTTTCCTTAATTTTTGTAAGTATTAGACTTATATTTTACTAACTTTTATCAAAACGATTTTCTATGAGACTAACCTTACTACTAGATAGGTTAGTTTACCTAGGTCTCGTTATTAAGTAAATAATTTCATAAAAGTAAATAGTTGTTTATATCCCTAGTCTATATTATTATTAACCATTTTCAACTATTTTTTCTTTAAATAGTCAAGTAGGCAATAAATTGGAGAGAAAAAAAAATTGGAAACTTCACATAAGTAATGATCAGTAATGATTGAACGTGTAAGGGTCTTCATAATCAAAGCGATAGCTGGCAATCTTGGTACTTCTTGTGACGTTCATTCATGAATTAACGTGTAGGGTCTGCTATATATCAGATGTTTCATTACCTCAAAGCAGGAAGTAGGAGTTGATTTCAATAATCACTACTTAATACAGCAAATGAGACTTTATAGTCTGGAAGAATGGTTCCTGGTATATACCAATGGATCAATCACTAGAACAATTAACGAGTAGCAGCTATGTATTCGGAGCTTAAGCCACTAGCTAAGTATCTCAGTTGTCTTGCCAATAAATATTTGCTGTTGCAAACAGCACAAGAACAAAAAAATATCTGGTGCAGTGTGCGGATCATACAACTTTTAACAAAACTAATTAATTACCATATGTTTTAAACAATTGTCTAACATATTATATTTATCATTTTTATATCACTATTTTTCCTTTTATGACTGTATATTTTGATTATTTATATGATTATAATAAATAATTAAGTGCCAAAAATATTTTTAGTCCGACAAGATTGCACACTGATATAGACTAGGCCACTAGATTACGCTAAAAAGTCGACCTAAAAAATTATTTTTATTCAAAGCTACTCAAACAAATGACACATAACAATTATAAGTAATTAATTTAAGACAGATAATAACTCTAATCTATCCCCAATTACTGTTTATTTCTCATTTAACGGAACTTTTTTAAGAACTTAAATAAATAAAAGTTAAACTTTCACCGTAAATCCAGAACTTTAACAATAAAAAAAAGTTCCTCAGAACTTATATTTTAAGAACTGTTTTCCTAAAGTTTTACAGGAAATGTTAAAATGCAACTTTTTAAAAAACCGCATATAGCCAAAAAAGGTGAGGAAAAGGGAGAAAAAAAAAACAGGTAAGTAAAAGTGTAAAAATAGACAATGTCACAACTTCAACAGGCTACAAAAGGTGTTATGGTGGAAGAGCTCTGATCATCAATCAAAATAACATAATGGGACTCAAGTTGGATCATCAATGAATTTAATAAACAGCCACTGGAAAACTGGAAACATTCTATATTAAACTAATAATATGAAATTGAATATCTGTAATAGGATCTCTTAGGATGAGATGGCACCAGTAGAAAAACAGCTGATACATAAAAAAGGCTACATACTGTTAAAATTATTTACACCAATTTTAACAAAAATATTTAGCAATTAAGAAGATAAAAACATTATACTTCAAGAACAGACAAAATTTCATAATGGGGCAAGCATCAGAAATAATATTTCTATCCTTTAAACCAGATATCTTCAAACTACAACCTGTGGATCAATATTGGCTTTGAAATAGGACCAATCCTACGTGCCTCTTTTTATTCTGATTTCATTATAAAATACACAGTTACCATATAACTATGCCACATTATTGTCTTTGATAAACTTTGTATGTATTGTAGAACAAGAATATGTATTATGAATGAAAAATAAAATCTTACTTTTTTGTTTTTTAAATTATTAATCATTATTAAATCACAAAAAAAAGAAACTAAGTCATATTTTCTTTTAAAACAGTTGATCACCTTGATTAGTAAAATATCCATAGCTTCAACCATATTATGTTGTTTTCCATACAGAGGAAAAAAACATTTTAGCAATAATAGATTTTTTCCATTAACAGAATGAATGCCATATTGTTGTGATTCTAAAACTATACCATCGAAGGCTCTTCCCCTGGAAAAAAAAAAGTACAATTAAAATTTTAAATCAAGGAGATAATATTAGGTGTTCATTTTAAAAACAGACACTGTATAGGACATTAAAAAATTTCAAATGAGTTTGCATTCAGATAGAGAACAATGCATGCAATTCTCTTCTTAGTACCAGCTCTGTTCCGGAGATTCATCATATGTATAGCTATTTCATACACATGATTAGTACATGACTAAGAATATCTTGATGTTCTTGATTGATGGCTGAATAAATTTATTGAATTAGGACGTTCAGCTTTATATATTAGTATAGGTTATTTTCACACAGAGTAGTAACATAAGCTAGCTAATGTGTTTCTTGCACTTCCTTGCCACTTTTCTACACCAAGTCATCAGAACTCAGCGGCCTTCCTATATTTTTCACAACCTACAATTCAAATATTCCATTCAATCCCGTCTCACTAAATCTCGTACCTCTGACCTCTACCCACCTCTCCACTGAACTGCAGCGTTTGACAAATCCTTTATAATTCAAGCTGTCTCCTTCTGGAATACCATCCCTCCCGATATCCGACATGCACAATCAGTTTCCTCATTTAAATCTCTCCTTCTTAACCACCTACTCCTTTCCCAACCCGATTGATCATGAAATGTAGATAAGAGAACTTTTAAAGTTCCCCCAGAAATTATTTTCTTTACTTATGCTATTTTATTTTATTATACAGTATGTATTATACATATCAAAATGTTTTTAGTTTAATAGTTATATTTTTTGTTTTATTTTTTCAAAATCTTAATCTTAATAATAAATGTAAATAATTAATTTTATGTATGGCCACACAGGCATTTATTCTGTATCTGTAATTTGTCCTAAAGGGACGACAGTCCCAGGATAATAAAAAAAAAATATTCATTTCATTTTCATATTTCAACATTTAATCATTATTAATGTTGACTCTAAGATGTAGATACATTCTATAGCCCAATCCGTAACTATATTCCTTCTCATATTCTTCATCACTTAGTCGATTTTACATTCTTTGAATTACTTTCTTTCTAATGATTTAACGTAATTCTTTTTCACTTCTACTCCTTGTTTTTCTTTCTTGAAGTGAATCTATTATCCCTCTAGAATTTGTGTTTGCTGCATCTAATATCAGTGCTTGATTAAGATCAAAACTAACTTTATATGTTGCGATTTAACCTTTATTTACTGAAACTTAATTATTTGTAACATTTGTTTTTTAATTAAAAATAATGATTTGGTAAATTTAAATTTGTCATAACATTATATTATTAAGTATAGATAATTCTAGACAGCACTGAATCAAGAATATTGCATAACATTCAGAAGTGCAGGCCACGCCAAATGGCTCAATATTTTTTAAGGCCACCTTAAGCTATTTCATAATGAAGAGAAGGATGGTTGGGGTGATCAGTCAGAAATAAAAAGACAAAATAAATAATTTTCTTTTTTTTTAATTTTGCCTTTTTATTTCTGACTGATAACCCTATCCATCCTTCTCTTCATTATTCACGACAGTCCACCGTCAACCCACAATTATGAAGCTATTTAATAATTTGATAAAACAGGTCTGTAACACGGACTGTATCTATGTCCACAGGAGTGGACAAGTGTATTGCATTTATGTAAAACACAAGGCCTGCGATAAGAATTACAATTTAATAATAACAGTAATTAATAAATCGTTATTGTTTTTATTTACCAAAATCATCAGAAAAAACATTATATGATAAAAACAAAGTTGAAGCATGAAAATGTGAAAGAGTCAAAAGTACATTCAGACAAAATTAAATCATAAATTTCTTTTTTTGCAGATCACAAGCCTGTGTATTAAGTAACATACTCCTCAAAAATAATTCACAAAATTAACAATTTGTAACTAAAGGTATTAAATTTGATAATTCCACACTATTTCTGATCAGTTCAAGATTTTGGTACCAAATAATTCTTAATCTTATGGGATAATACTAAGTATTATGCACTCTGGTAATACTTGTTTATATATTTTGTATCCTATTATAAACATGAAAATTAATTTTTAATTGAATTCAATTAATATTAAAGTCCCCATTTTATTCCTAATATTTTTGAAGTTTAAACTTCTATAGGCACGCTTAGTACTTCATTTTAGGGGAATGTGACTGAGCCATAATGCTCGGCTATGTAACACTCATTTAGGTAAAGTTAGTTCGAGACGACTAATTTTTGTATTTGGATTAAAATATCTCAGAAAATTAAAAATCGGACCTGCAATACTGCAAGTGAGGGAAATGTCCAATATTTCATGTCTTTTACAATGAATTATAATTCAAAATTGCATCTTGATGCGATGCCGTATTAACATTCTGAAGGTCGCACCGGATCTGAGAGGTCCGTCGAGCGGTCTATTTGATGTATTTTTATACCGCTTGGTAGAGGACGATCCTCCGTCCCCGTATTCTCCTGGTTCTTGGAGTCTTACAATGCAGTAGCGGGGTGAATTGTGTTGCGTCCAATTTTTGTGCCAAAATTTGAGGATTGACGGCGTATATGGAAATTTTTCATGGGAAAAGAATGCAATGGCAACTGATACAATTGAAATCAAAGCCTTTATTGGGCTGTTATAAAATGCAGAGATGCATTAAGTCAGAAAAAAAATCTGGATGATTTGTAGGACTCGTGTTCTTAAGTAATTAAGTTTGTAATCAAGATATTTCGTTCCACATTGAGTGCATGAAGGTTTCGATTTTTACTTTGATCCGTAACATTTGACGACCAACAAACATGTCAAAAACGTAAAGAAATAGACCTGACTGGCAGCTATTCGAGGCATATTTGAAGTTTGTCAGAAACTGCCAATCTTGTTATTAAGTCGGAGCAGACGTGGCTAATGATGAGAAATTGGAGGCTTTCAGACGCTGATGTTCATGTTGTGATGATGCTTGTATTAACTGTTATATCCAATTTAATTCTATTATAATTATTCCAAGTATTCAATGACTATTGTATTCGTATCTAATTCTAATGGTATACAGAATTTAATATTGAAGTTCCTAATTTTGTCAACGTATTTTTCATTTTGATTTTTATTATTTTTTTTAAATTATGTAACTATGTTTTTTACTCAATAAATATATTTAAATACTAATCTCATATCGTTTTCATTTATTATAATGAGAAATTTGTTCGTATTTTTCATCAATAAATGGATTTAATGCAGTGGATCTCACAGATTGTAGCGACCTTCCATGCGAATCTAAGGCTAGCGACCTTTGGAGTGTTAAAGAAGCAATAAGGGAAAAAGAAACCAAATAATAAGAAATGATTACGTTTAGCATTTATCATTTAGTGAGTATTGAATGACACTGAACCGTTCAGCTATGTAACACTCCTTCGCTATGTATGAAATATTCATAAATATGTGAAAAATATTTGTATTTCACACTATCAATCCTACATTGTTGATATTGTCACTTCTATCATGTGGTCTTAAGCACACATCATAGTTTTTTATTAACTTAAATTTAATTAAATAATAAAATTATTATTTTAATATATTCTAATATTTAAGTAATGATAAATATGTATACATATTTATGTGAAATTCTATAATAAAGCCCATCAAAATGAATGAAAACTGTATTCAAAATCTAGCGATTGAATTTGAATCTTGAATATAATTTTCTGAAAAGCAGCTCGGAAAACATGGCTGAAATTTTGGATTTACGATTGCCTGAATATCTAGATTTCAAATATGCTAAAAGAGTTGTATTAAATCCAGAGTGCTCATTTTAATTATCAAACATATTCAATAGACCAAAAATGCAAGTATTAATGTAAAAAAATTATACAAACGTCTTATTAGCATCTTCATCATCCATTGTTTTACACATGTTGGCCCACAGCTCATACATCATAAGAGGATACAGCCAACGCTTGTAATCTTTGTAAGAAACATAAGCATCCTTGGCATTGTACTTTTCCGTATGAACAGGAGGTTCGCCAGCGATAACTTTGATTTCCTAAATAATAACAGTATTTGAGCTACCATAATACTTAATATAAGCTATAAGCTACTACAATACTTAATATATGGGAAGTATAGTAACAAGTCAACAAATTTCTTTAAGAGCTTGCTCATTTTAAGTGATTTTACAAAATAAATTAAATTGAATTTTTACATAAATATAAGATCCCTTAACAATAACTTAATTTCAAAGATTATACATATAAATTTTTCTATCTATATTTTAATATATATAAATATAATTCATGTATAATTCAAGAAGTATAATTTAAAGAAAATTTTTATATCTCTTATTATATAAAAAAGTTTTTAGTGACTTTCATATTTGATTTTACATATACAAAGGGACAATGTTAACATTGTTTAATGTTACAATTAAACAGTGTCTCTCAGTCCAGTTTTAACTAATGCCAGAATAAACGCTGTAATTAAGACTAGTTTCTAAAAACTGTTCTCATCAGAAAATATTAAAATTGTGAAGTACACGAAGTGGAGGATATTTCATGGGAAATAATGCATGACGAATAGAGTATCACCAATCATTGGTAGTCATAGTTTTGAAAAAAAATAAAAATCTTTCTCAGGGCACCATAAAGCGAAAGAAAGGATCTGGGAGGAGAAAAAAACAAAAAAACAATTTGACCATTTATGGTGCGATTGTTTTCAGAATATTGCTTCAAATTTGGCAAACAAATATCCAGAAATCTTACAGATAACAACCTGGTAAATATAATAAAAATTTTATTGAGTGATGCAATTACATGACCACGACTGTGAATTTCATTTTTGAATTTGACGACTTCAAATCTGACCCATAAGGTAATTGAGATTACTGATCACATAATTAGAAAAGTTTGCTTAAATTGGCAATCTGTCAAAATAGTTTATAAAGTCCTTAAAACATACTTACATTAATCCAGGAGGCGTTCCAATGGACGATGTCAAAATAGGTTTCTTCTAGGGTAGTGATAGCTGGCATGGGTGAAGTTACAACAGGCTTGGGTATAGGAGTTGAGGGAGCCTTATCTTTTAAACCCATTGCGTTTACTGACTTCATGCTTCCTTCACACTCGAATAACTTAATATCCATTTTAAGATTAAATTGAACTTTTTTAATGGATGTTCGAGGTTGGCCAAGTAACTTCAAACAACTTTTTAGTCCACCAGAAGTAACATTTGGTAATGGCGCGACTGGCCCTGCTTTGGAGGAGGCGGGTTCCTTCAACTTATCATAAGAAGTCGATGCAGATCTTTTGGACACTGACTCAGTACTTGATAGCGTACTATTAGCTTTTTCAATTTTTTTCTTCGTTCTAGAAGACTTTCTACAAGGATCTTCCATTAATCCCTCCAGTAGGATACTACCTCGATTTCTTTCAGTAATTTTGGCCACTCCAAGAGGCTTGGTCAGATTACCATCTTTCTTATCTGGACTTCCAGATCTGGTAACAGATTTATTATCAAGCAATTTATCCTCTGTTGATTTGAGATCTTGTTCAGGTCTTAGAGTAACTTCCGTATGTGCACTACCTTTTTCTCCATTTTCAACCATTTTCGAATTGGCTCCTAAAGCTAATGATTTCAGTTTTGCTTTTCTGTCCTCAATAATTTGTTTTTGTTTTTTCTTATTCAAAGACTCCTTAGTTACACTTGGCTCTGCCTTCTTAGGCCTACCAGGTTTCTTTCGTGCAGTTGGAGGTTTAGAAAGTAATGTACTTTTAACTAACCTGGCACCTGATATTGAATCAGCAGGAGGTAAACTCACTAACCCATCAACTGATTTATCTAATTGAAGTTGTTTATTAATTTCAGACTTGTTAGAATCTTTTTTAATTAAATTTGAGGGAGGGCAATTCTCATTGGTCTCTGTTGTTATATTACTAATTGTATTAACAGATTTTTCCAGATCTAATTTCTTACTATAACTTGCATTTACAATATCTTTTTCAATGGAAGACTTTTTTAAACCAATTTTTTTTCCCTTCGATTTCGAATCAGCTTCACTTTTCTTAGAAAATTGCTCAGTTTTGTTTGGAAGGTGTTCTGTACTTGGTTCAACCTTTTCTAATTGAACCGAACAGGTGATATTTTTATCAGATTTAATCATTTCATTAGATTTGCATTTATTCGGCAGATCAAATGAATCGAAATTAGTATTATTTTTTTCATTACATTTTACTTTTTCAAGTGTGTCTGAATTGATTATTTTATTATTATTTTTGAGGCCATCAGCAGCTGATGTTTGGTCTGGATAATCAGATTTTATAGTTTTCAAATTGGACTCAGATACTTCTTCTTCCGAGATTTCCTTAGTTTTTGTTAAAAGTTCCAAATCCAACCTTTTCAATTTCACACTCACATCTCGAATCCTCTTATCTTTTCCTTTGGAACGAGGACTCTTTTTCACATCAGCTTGATCTTTGCTTGAAACATCATCATTGGACGAGTGTGATTGAGATTTATTTATTTTTTTAATTGGTGTTTCTGTCTTTATCAATTCTTGTTCTTGCGAGCACTGAGAAAAATGTGACTGAAACAAATCTATTTCTTCGTTATCATCATTCATTTCATACATAAACTCTTCTTCCTTACAAATATTTGTTTTCTCATTCGATACTTCTTTAGTAACCTCATCTAGTTCCATGAACAACTGAGAATATTCCAGTTCATCTTCACTTTCATCAATTACTACAACACCATCCACATCTTGTGAAAAAACCATTTGTTCATCTACATCATTTTGTTCAAAAGATAACTCTTGTTTGATATTAATATGAATATCATTTTCAGTCACAAACGGTAAAGATTCAAAATGATTATTTCTTGAAGGTGAATCCATCTTGACATCTGTTTTGTCTTTTTCAGGTTTATTACTTGAAAGTGAATTCATCTTGACATCTGATTTGTCTTTTTCAGGTTTATTACTTGACAGTGAATCCATCTTGACACCTGATTTGTCGTTTTCAGGTTTATTACTTGAAAGTGAATCCATCTTCACATCTGTTTTTTCTTTTTCAGGTTTATTACTTGATAGTGAATCCATCTTGATATCTGATTCGTCTTTTTCAGGTTTACTACTTGAAAGTGAATCCATTTTGATTTCTGATTTGTCTTTTTCAAGCTTACTACTTAAAGGTGAATCCATCTTAATATTTTGTAATTGATTTTTTTCTGTATTAATTTTTGAAAGTGCATCCATCTGGACATCTGATTTGTCTTTTTCAGGTTTACTACTGGAAATTGAATCCACCTTGACATCTGATTTGTCTTTTTCAAGCTTACTACTTAAAGGTGAATCCATCTTAATATTTTCTAATTGATCTTTTCCTGACTTAGTTCTTGAAAGTGAATCCATCTTAACTTCTGTTTTATTTTGCTCAGGACATGTTAGTTGTTTCATATTTATTAAGGCATTACTTTTATTTTGAAGAAGTGACATATCTAAAGAGTTTTTCCTAGATGGTAATTCGGTACCCCTACAGGTTGTATCGATACTTTTGTGGAAAACTTTGATGTTATCAGCCTTTGGGATATTATCTTTATTAGAAACAGAAATATTTTTACAAATTTCATTTTGTACTACAAAATGTTTCATATCACTTTCAATACTTATTGGATCAACTAATCTCTTTTCATTATGATAGGATAAAACATTAATTTCTTTGTTCTCATTTAGACCCTTCAATAGACTGTCCAGTTTTTCCATTTCTGATGCAAAAGAGTCAGAACGTGTTTTTTTTATTTGAGGTTTGTAATTCAGCTCTTCATTCTCATCCTGGATCTTTTCAGTGGCATTTTTTGCATTAGATAGAACAGATTTATGTGAGGACCCAACATTGGAACTGATGATATCAGAACAATAGTTCAAATTGCTAGGAAGCTGGGCTAGATCTGGTTCATAAAAACATGATTCTTCCTCATACTCTGTTTTATATCGATTGTCATGGAAAATTTCTTTATTTTCAAGATATGAAACATTTTCTCTATTCTCGTGAATAGGCTGCACTAGACTTACTTCAGCATCTGCTTCAATTTTAACTTTATTCTGCTTTAAACAGTAATTTGTAAATTCTTGTGAATGGCACGAACTGGATTCATTGGAGGTAAGAATTTCAATGCTTCCAACATTTGAAGAAATGATTTGTTCATTATTCAAATTTGATGAAATATTTGCAGTAATGGACTTATTATCTAAATTAATATTATGAGAAACATTCTCTTCTGGTTTTTCAATCCCTCCAGAAAGAATTTCAATATTTTTTAACACTTTATCACTGTCATTATTTTCTAATAATTTCATCACTGCTTGAATTATCTTTGCGTTTTTGTTTAATGAGCAGGCATTTGAGCCTGGTAGAATAGGATTTTTACATTCACTAGAATCAGGGCTGGTACTTTCTTTATCAGCTAATGGCCCACAGCTTGAAGATTTGTCAGGAAACATATTTTGACTGCCATCATCAGTCAGGTCAATACACTCCATGCCTTTATCAGATGAAGAAACCTAATAAAGAAGTATATAGTATTATAAATATTCATATTCATATATACATTTATATAAAAATAATATCTTCAAACGGAAGATCTATCTGTGTATTATTACATAAGGTATTTTGTGAAATTTTTCTCCCTAAATAATTTATTTCTAAAATTATGTTTAATTTCATAACATACTATGTATAACATTTTTCGAAGTTTTTAGAATCCTTTCTCAATCCTAGGCAACATAATATTAATATATCATTAATTTTTTTTTTTTATGTTGGTTGGCGCTAAACACCATGTAGCTCTTGGGGCACGAGATAGTCTCCTTACAGACGCATATTGCTGTACATATATTCTGGATATATATGGCTATCCTGGAGATAGTATAGAGGGGGTCCCCAACCTCAGGTTGCTACAGACCATGGTCTCCAAGGCTGCAGCTCCATAACCGATACCATTGGGACCCATTTGGCAGTACACTTCCCACCGACTATCTTGCATTCAACAACAGTGACATCACAACCTCAAATCATGTATATTATTTATGTTTAATGATAAACATAAATAAATTGTATCTATATTGTTTAATATATATCTCAGATCCATTACAGCAACCAAACCAGTAAGCCTTCAGCCTTCAGATTAATAAATTTGAAATAATCATTTCAAATAAATTAACAAACCGAGATTTATATATATTATAATGAATACCTTTATTGGAAGTTCTGCTAAGGGGATGTCAGGGGATGTTTAAATTTGAAAAATAGTTTCACTAGTTAAGCTGTGGTTTTCCCAAAAAGGAAAATCCCAAAGAGGGGAGGAACAAAGGATTTTTGTTTTGGCTTTTGCTGTTGTTTGGCTGAGTCACTTGTTTGGAATTACAAAAGTGAGGATGTCACAGGGATGTCACCAAGTTGTGTTTGGCAGAAAAAATGAAAAAAAGGTTAGCTTGTCAATTCATACTTGATTTTAAAATCAAACAGTTTTTAGTGTAGTTAATGTTAGTTTGTTTGAGTGTTTTGATCTCATTGTCAGTAACCCATACCTGAGATAAAATAATTATAATTATAATATGGAAATTATAATTATAAAGTTCAGTTCAATATGTCAATATTCTTATAATTTTGTTTATTATTTAACAACCTCTTGGAAGTATCGCTACAGTACCAAGTGATCTTCTAAGGTTATATTACTAGTTTAAAATAAAGATATATTACAATATCCATATATATTAATGACAATAATTTTAGTGTACATTGTAATGATTTTTATATTATCGAGTATGCACATTTAAAATATACGTTAGAGTTAGAGGAGCAACTCCACTGCTGTGTCTCAGTGGATTGGACAGAATCCAGGAGTCTGACAGTTCCAGAAAGCTCTTGAGTTAACATGTGTACAGTGGTTAGAGAAGACCATGTTCAATTGAGAGAGGAGTATAAATTTGGAGCTACCAGAAAGATAGTAGAATAAGCAGAATATTATATAGTATTATATACTAATGATGATATTAATTTAAATTTTATTTTCATTCATAAATGTGTTCATTTATTAAATAGAATATTAGATGTATTGATGCTGTTTATTTGATCCTTAGCATTCACTGTTCATGAGCTAGTTAACCCATTTTTTAGTTTATTCAATTCATTTTTTAATAATATCACCACAATATACATATATTTATTTTAGTAATATCACAATATTATATATATACAACCTGCAAAATTTTATAATTTACGCATGAAGTTTAAAGTTGCTTTTACTTTTAAAGGAAATTTCATGTTCTACAACTTTGTTTTCCATGATTTTATCATAGAATGAAAATATAAAGATTTAACTAGTCAAATATAGATAAAAATGTGAAGCAAACTTTTTTTTTTTTCAAAATTAGCAAATTAAGTTAGTGAGAAAATTCATATAATCAATCCTTTCACAAACTTGGCCACATTTAATTCAACAGTATTCATGAAGAAGATTTTTTTAAAAGAGTTTTACGTAAATTACAAGACCATGTAAACTATAACAATAATTAATAAATTGTTAAATATATTGCTGTTATTTATCAAAACTGTCTGAAAAACATATGATTTTGCGAACTGAATAGGGACAAACGAAAAATGTAAGAATATTTTGTCATTATATAAAATTAATATTTTTTAAAAGAGGAAACATATTAAAAGCACTGCTTCATCATCATAAAACTTTTAAACATTAAATTAACAATAATCTCTATTTCTCTTACCTGTGCTTTACTCCCTCTCTAACCATGTTTTATTTTATTTGAAATTTTCTGTTATTTTATTCTATTAGTTAGTTTTTAATTATTATTCGTAGTTCATCTATTAAATACATTATATTTAATTTATTAATAATATGAGGATAATAAAAATTAAATAGTAATTTTAACAAAATGTTTCCTCTTTAAAAGTTATTCATTAATTTTACAAAAAGATGAAATAATTAAAAAGTGTATAAAAAAAAAAAAAAAAAATTACATAAGAAGTATAGAAAAGAGGACACCATAGCCAAATTGAAAATGTTATAAAAAAAAAAATAATATAAGGTACACTTTTATTAGATAATTATGTATGTATTAATCGTGATATGCTTAGAAATTTCGATTATTAAGGTTATGTTGTCTGGAAATTTTAGTCCTGAATAAGAGGAAAGGAACCATGAAAGGTTTGAAAATATTATTCATTTACAGAATGAATATAGTTTGTAATATAAATGAATAAGTTATTAAGGAAGAAAAAGTTCACCAAATACCTCACATTGTCGGTTTATTGCCAAAAGTCACTAAGGACATTTATGAAATAGGTTAACTTTCAAAAATGTTTTTAAGAATTTCAACTTTATTTATCAATACAAAAACATTGTAAGGGTACAAAAATAAAACAAACCCATTTATAAATTATATATAGTTAAAAACAAGTGCACAATTTTCAGATTTAATAAAGAAAAATTGTTCAAAATTCTTAATTAGTTAAGGTTATGAAATGTCCTTTAATGACTATAGCAGTAAACTGACGATATAATAAAATATACATTTGTATAAAAAATATGTTGATGCTTATAAAAAAAAACAATTTATAGTGAAAACTAATAAGTACAGTTTTCTTATTTAAAAATAACTATGTTAGTATTTATTAATAAATTCTTTTTTATTTTCAAGTCAAATAAACATTGCTATAGAAACAATAATAATTTTTTTTACAATTTTACTTTATTTTTGTAAAGGTTTGTTAATTTGAAAATAATACTTTTTACATTATTGATTTTCTAAGATTTAACTCTTTATATTCTTTTTTAAAAGTTAAATGTTGAATGTTTTGAAACCTTTCCCATCTTCGTGGTCAAATATTTGCCGATTATATATATAAATTGCCATTTTTATGATATTTGTCAATTATCAATTACATTGATTAGTCTGCATTTCATTTTTTGGAATATCGTGTATCTGAAATACAGATTTAGATTAATACAAGAAAACATAAGGGTCATGAAGATGAAAAAGAACTTGAAACGTTGGCCGTTGAAAGGTTTAAAAAAGAAAATACGGGGTTAAATCTTAGAAAAACAATATATAGAAAGTACAGTGATTGTTTAAAATAAGTTCTTTTAAGTTAAAGACAAAAAATTGTTTTACACAATCAAAAAGTTAGTTGGGATTATGGTTAAAGGAGAAAACATGCAGAAAATATAAAATATCTTTTAATGATTATCAATGTTTTGATGTACATTTTAGGTCTTCATCAGGACTATGAAAACAAGACATATAACCATGAAAAGTATATAAAGAACAAATAATAAATTAAGTACAAAAAACAAAAGAGAATATAAAAAATTGCAGTAGCATGAAATAATAATTATTATTACACATGAAATTTTACATATATAAATAAGAAACGATGAAATAATGGCAAGCACAGTACGACTGGGAGTCACGATCAAAAGGAGAGACTTATCAGAGACAGGCAACTTTTTTCTTTTATTTTTTTGTTCCCCCTTCCTCGTTTTTTAGGCTTATGAGGTTTTCCTGGGCCAGGGGAAAGGGCAGGGGTCAGTGCCAGAATGTAAAGCTCACTTGCACTCAGATTACTGTGAACTCGTAATTATTAAATCATCTATAACTTCGGTTATTAGATTGCTGGAGCTATACACAGGCGTTAGCCAGCTCAGCCATCCTGCTCCGACAAAAAGCCGATTGTAAGATTGCGGACTAACCATTGGTGCACAAATAAATATCTTAATCTATGAGAATTGAAGAAAAAAAAAAAGCAAAATGACAATTACGAAGACGGTAAAGGGACAGAAGATCCATCTCTTTAGATGTAGTAAATATGAAAAAGAATATGAATCAGGAACGGAGGAAGATGAAACATTTTTAAAAACTTGGATAAAGGGAAGATCAAGAAGATTGAAATGTTTTTTTTAGAATTACACTTAGATTAGTTTAGATGAAAATTTGAAGAAATACAAAAAATCGGTAAATGTACACATATTTCTTTAACATTGTATCTTGACTAGAATAGGATTAGCAGAAAAATCTTGATGATGATTTGCAACAATAAATAAAAATAAAAATATGAATAATGATAAATCGTTGAAAATTATATTTAAATAACCTATATTTATTCTTTGTTCCATCATCCTTCCATGATATTTTGATTTTCTTAGAAGTGACGAATGCCTAAAAAACATCTGTACACATTAAAAGAAGTTTCAAATTTGTGTTTTCTCTTTCAAATAGGCATCTCCAACCCAATCGACTTCTCTCAGGCAGAGATGGGCAAATGCTACTCTAAGTACCGAGTACCAAGTATTTTACTCAAATTGAATCACTATTGCGAATTCAATCACTACTTCAATTAATCATTTGACATCAACTGAAGTAGTAATTAAATTCTTTGGAACTCGAAAAAGATCAGTATTTGAGTAAAATACTTAGTAGTTAACGATACCACCACCATTACTTTAAACAATGTCTATTCGCCATTTTCAATTAATATATTACATTGAGTAACAATTAATATGTTACTACCATCTTGTACAAACCTGATTGAAGCCAATGGCGGCAGTATGTAAAGGTAAGACTTTTCTTTTCTGGTTACACGTGATAGCCTCTTCTAATAAAACCTCTTGATTAGGAGGCAAGTCCTGTTGAATAGTAAGAGAATCTTTTTTCTGCTGCACTTTCAACAAGGTAAGAGAAAATTAAGCTTAGTATGAGATTAATTTAATTGATATGAAGCATGTCCAGAAAGTAAAAGTACTCAATTTTTCTATTATGAAAAAAAATCTCCTATGCATTTTTAAGCCATGGCAAAAGTGTTTTGAAGCCTTCCTCTTAAAACTCTCCTGCCATTTGCTATATCCACTTCAAGTCTTCTTGTTTCACCTCGTCATTGATTGAAATTTTGTCCTCCCTATTTGAGTCTTGAGGAAGGGGAAGACGAAAAGATGAAAACCTGAAGGCTTTATATCAGAGGCATATCCAGGGGAGATCAAAATGTCACAAACAAACAAGTTCAAAAGCTTCTTAGTGGAGTTGGGAGTGAGCAGGCAGGCGTCGTCGAGCAACTAACACACTCTCACTAACACAACTCTAGAACTCGAGCTTAGAAAATCAGCACGAACCTAACAATTGGCAGGATTTCTTACAAAAACAGACTCTATGTCACGAGTTTTGGTACTGATGAGTGAAACCACTGCCGGTTGTTTTAAGAAGAATCCCCACCACAACTCAGTGTGGGAAATTTTGGAAAAAAATTTCCCACAATGTGAGAGCCCAACAGTACTCTTGCTTTCTGGACATGCTTCGTACATTGATGTGGTAAGGTTGTAAATGATCTAACTTTAATTTTTTTTTTTTTAAATTAAATAAAATTTATCAATTTTGACATTACATTACCCAGTTGTGAATAAACTTAGGAAATTATTCTAATAGAAAAAAATATCATGCCTCTGATTCTATACAAAATTTGTCGAAATACAGTTAAAAGCTTGCCACTGACAAAATTAGTTTAAAAAAAAATTAATGAAAATGGAATAACTAACAACATATATTTAAAAAAAAAAAAATCATTCTATTTTCCTACCATTATACAGTTTACATCACAAGAAAATGTTATTTGTTTTTAACTTAAAAAGTATATTACTCATGACAAACAATATATTATCAATTAAAAGATAATCAAATCATATCTTGTATTTGATAATATATTGTTTTTCATGAGTAATATACTTTTTAAGTTAAAAACAAGTATATATATATATATATATATATATATATATATATATATATATATATATATATATATATCTATATATATATATATAATATATAATAATATATTGTATAATAATATAATAATATATTGTATAATAATATAATATATTGTATAATATATAATAATATATTGTATAATAATATAATAATATATTGTATATAATATAATAATATATTGTATAATAATATAATAATATATTGTATAATAATATAATAATATATTGTATAATAATATAATAATATATTGTATAATAATATAATAATATTGATTATATATATATATTATAATCAGATAATAGGTCATGAAACAGACCTATTTCATAGACGTATTTCATGACCTATTATCTGTTTGTAATACATATCTTAAGTTATAATATATAAAGGTCCAATTATAAAAAAAAACATTGTAATATTATATATATATATATATATATATATATATATATATATTATATATCACATAACATAGAATAAGAGATGAAATGGTTAGAGATCTGATTGAACGGATACCTTTTCTATCGATTCCCTTATCCGCTTCGGTGAGCAATTTCCTTTTGATATTTCCTCATTTTGCGGACTTAAAGAGTTCCTCTTTCGTTTTTTTGGCCCCTAAGAATATTGAAAAGATTAAATTTTTAACATTGAATAATTTTTAAAAATAATTATTATTTTATTTAATTTTTTTATTTAGCTCAGTGAGTTGGGCACTGACTTCTATGGCTCAAGATCTGTGCCAAATAAATCCGGCTGATGACAAATCAATTATTTATTCTGTTTTATCAGTTTTGGATCGACCCTGGGATCGGGAGAACCTCCTGGGGCGTACCCAGCCTCTTTAAAGTGGGCACTCTTAATTAATTAGGGAGGAAACCTGCTGGTTGAGTGTGATTTCGGTCACAAGAAACAGTACTTCCGAACATAATACTGAACCCAAGACCATTCAAATCATTTCCTAGTTGATTTTAATCTATTTCAATTAAAATTGACCGATAAAAGCTATAAAAAGAAAGTATATCAATCCTCTTCAAGACAAAATAAAATCAAATATCTCTTTAAAATAAAACTACTGCTTAAGCATTTATAAGTTAATCTAGTAATTGTGATAATCAAAATGTTATTTGTAGAAAAGGTTTCAGATGCAATAGAATGATATGAGATGAAACCATATAAATAATAATAATTTTAAGTTTTATTAACGAATGACAACTTCTTTCAACCAATATATTTCTATTTATTGAGGACACTGATGTGCAAATTGAAATATATTTAAGAAGTGAAGTATAAGAATCAGGATAAGGGAACTGAAATATAACAATATTGCAGGTGAACATCAGGTAAGGCAGTACCTCTGCTAGGGAACAGCGCACCTGCAAAGGGAGTCTCCAAGGCAAATTCTTTGGAGAAGGGCGTGAGGTCATTGTGCTGTAAGAGTCCTTGGAGAAGGGTGTCCATAAGAGGAGCATAGAAGTAGTGCCTAGGAAAGAAGGGCAATTGGATAAATGGAAAGACTAAAGAGATGCTTCGGAATACCCTCCTCTCATCCACAAGGTGCACCTCATCTGGGGGTACGCCCTTCCCTGAACAGAGGTGCACCCTCCGGTTACGTGCGTTTTTTGGAGGATAGAAAGACAGTTGGAACCATCCTGCAGATGCATAGTGGGTTGTTAAGTATTATTTTATAAGCCGCCGTGAAGAGAAAGGAACGAAGCAGTGAGGAAGAGTCAAAACAGAGTGTTATTTGATACTTGTCCAAGGCTAGTGTGACAACACACATCTAACCTTCGACATTATGAGCACAAACAGAAAACCTGTAAGGATTTCAACAAATTTCCAGTATTAGGGTTCCATGTTAGGGGGTAGATGTTATAAACATGTTACATCACATGGATGCACGGTATGGTATACATAAACCAGGAAAACGGAGGCTGCATCAGGAGGAACCATAGATGCAGTATCTCCGTAGGAGATTATTAGTAATTACATAACGAAAGGTGCACCTAAAGGTACAATGGAATGAAATTGATACACATAAATGCCGTTTCAGGCACTCACATCCACCTTAGAAAAGTATAAAGCCAGAAATGTAGCAATATAAACATTCAACAAATTTTAAGTTGCATTTCTAGGTCCAAAATAATAAAATTAAATCATCACTTTCATAAAATAATTCATTAAAATTTAAACAATAACATATAAAAAATATTAATTCCTACTTTAAAGCTTTGAAGAATTGATTTACCTGCGGTCCATTACATTCCACAAGCCGATATACATAATGATTAGTTTCTGCTATATCTCCTAAAAAGGGTTTACCTAAGCTAATAATATCTCCATCCTTTAACTGAAGATCGCGCTCCTTCAGAATTTCGGTTTGTTCTATATAAGTTCCATTCAAACTCTGAAAATATTAAAATAGTTAAATACAAATTAAGTTATTTACAACAAATATTTGGTTATTTTTGAAATCATAAACAATAATTTATCTTTTTATTGAAAAAAAGGAAGAAAGAATATCTCAATTAAGAAATCTATCAAAACAGAATAGATTTATCAATTTTATTTTGTCTCTTCAATAGAAACCTAGGAATAGAACCAGAAGAATAAGAAATGTGATTCCTTTCTTCTTAAAATATCTTAACATTTAAACCAAATAAAATTAGTTTGTAAAAAGTGAGAAAAAAAAATTTGTTTAAACCTACTTTTCTTGACTCTCATAAGAAATATTTCATAAAACCTTCTAAAATATATTTATTAACACATTAGATCAAGTATCAACGTCAAATCGATGACAATCTAAACCATATTTTTAATAATGTGAAATAATATTTATTTAACAGGAAACCTAATTATAAATAATATAATAAATATGAATATTAAAATTAAAATTTACCCCAAGGTCTCTGATGTAAACATTTCCTCCTTTTACAGTCACATCGCAGTGACATCTTGAGACCCATTCAGATCGACAAAAAATGTTTGACTCAGGGCTCCGTCCAATTTTATACTAAAAAAAAAAAGTTTGATGAAGTGAAGTGGATTAGATATTACAATATGTTATATTTAATAACAATAAGAAATAGAAATAAAAATTATGACAATCTATAAACAAAAAAAAATACAATTTTTTACTTTTATTTACCAATATATATAATATATAGTAAGAGAAAATATTGCGACCGTGAAAATTTTCAAATCTGAGTTTTCAACAGAAATACATGTTTTCAGGTCACTTGAGTCCAATTAACTAAGTGTTGCAAAATTGTCTGTGTGTGGGTATATGTGAATAATCTATCTCAAAAACGAAATATCGTAAAAAACTGAAATTGGTTATTTAAAGTTTGCATATGCCTGGGTTGTTACAACTGTTTCATAAAAATAGGCTAACCGGAAGTGCCAATTTATATCACCTATTTTATACACTATAAAAAATCGCCAAATATAAAATATGAAAGAATTTGATAATTAACTAAAGGAGAAATAAGGGATTGTAACAGGGAATAGTTGTAACAGAGGGAGGGGTATGTAGTAATATCAGGAGTGTTGAAACCCGAATTAAGGAATTCTTTCGACAGCAAAGACTTCAAAATTTACTTTTATTGTAAAATAAACAGTTATATTGACATAATACAATAACGGATCTAGGATTTAATTTTGGGAGGAGGCTTCAGCTCGAAAGGTTTCTTTTTTAATATATAATCTGATAATTACCAGGAGTGCCCCTCCCTCCCCCCCAGATCGATGGCACATAAAACCCTCCCCTTTATTTTCCATGAAATTTTATTGCTCTCCCATTTTTAAAAACAAGGTAGGTAAGAGAGGAATTAGAAAAAAATGTAGATCATATGCTATTAAACTTTTTTTTTTGGGTCCTCGCCTTTAAGGCTGTACGGGGTTTTCCCGGGCCAGGGAGTGAGGGCGGGGATTTAAAAGACTTGGAATGAGTTTGAAAAAAGGATGAGGAAAAAGGATGAGTTAACCGGAGAGTTCGGACGGTTATACAACGCTAAATTTCGTGAATTGTATCCAATTAATATAATTGAGGTGATTACATCGCGGCTAATTAAATGGGCCTGTAAAATTGTTGGACTTAGCAACGAAAGAATTCTTAAAAGGTTAATATTTGCTGTGCCTAATGAAAAATGTCCGAGGCAAGACCGAAGCGAAGGTAGGGAAGAGATTGCGTTAAGGCCGATCTGAAGGGACTGGGTTTGAACGGCGACCGGTGGAGGTAGGCGTGTAATAAGAGATTGGTGGCTTCGGAATCGAGCCTTCGGGTTCTTTTAATATAAAAGTGGTCTGAGTAACTCGTGTCTTAGAAAAAAATAAATAAAAAGAATTAACCGTGGTTCGATGAAGATTGTTTAAACATGTGCGATAAAAGAAAAGCTCTAAATCATCCCAGCGAAGACAATCTCGAGTACTTTCAAACCTTAAAGAATAAAACGACTGAATTGCTCAAAAATAAAAAAAGAGAGTATCTTAAAAACAAAATAATAGAAACTAGTAGAATTGAAAATAACATCTAAGACATGTACACAGGTATAAACAGATAACGTAAATTTATAGGGCTCCGTTATGTCTGTAATTAGAGATGAAATTAACAATATCCTATCCTATCCGTAAGACATATTAAACAAGTTTAAGAACCACCACTTTGACAATATTTTAAATACGGGAAATAATGATCTGTGTCCTTCTGAGTACCAGAGTGCTGGAATCTTTAATAGAAGAATTTAGTTAAGAGGAAGTTGAAGTAGCTACCGGAAAATTAGAATCTTATAAACAAGCGGGACCGATAATATTCCTAGGGAACTAATTAAGGAGTGCGAGGAAGCTGGAGTTGCTAAATTACATTGGTTTGTTAAAAGGATCTGGGTGATTGAGAAATTGAAGAATGGAAAGAATTTATTCTTGTTGAGATACACAAAAAAAAGGGCTCGAGAACGGATTTAATAACTGTAGAGGGATATTACTCCTTACGGTATGTTTCAGGAAATACGCAGAGGAAATTGTGGGAGACTATCAATGCGGATTTAGACAGAACCGTTCAACCATCGATCAAATATTTTCTTTACCGCAAAAATTGTAGAAAAAATTAAATTAGAGTACAGCGGTATTGTTCACCAGTTGTATATCGATTTCAAAAAGGCTTACGATTCTATTGATCGCTAGAAGCTGTATAATATTCTAATCGAGCAGAGGATTCCAAAATTGTTTTAACTAAATCAAGTAAAACTAGTTAAGATGTGCATGACGGAAACATTCGATAAAGTTAGAATCGGTAAATATTCTTTCGCATGTCTTGTTTAATTTGGTATAAGAGCATGCCATTGCAGAGGTAATGCGTACCGAAAAAGATTTTAATCTGGGTGGAACAATACCCGTGCTTTGATATGCTGATGATTGGCTAGAAACTGTACAATATCCTAATCGAACAGAGGATTCCAAAAAAATTATTAAATATAATTAAGATGTACATGACGAAAAAATTGAAGAAAGAAAGAATCGATAATTATTTTTCAGAAAAGTTTGAGGTTCGTTCGAATTTAAAACAAGGCTATTCTCTTTCACCAGTTCTGTTTAATTTGAAATTAGAATATTCCATTAGAGAGGTAATGCGTACTGAAAAAGGGTTGGATCTGGGTGGGACAACACCCCCAAGGTCGATTGCGCAAAAACCTAATCCACTCTAACCCCCCTCTACTCCCAAGATATTATACTGCTCACTTTTTCTTAAAAAAAGAACAATCTCAGATAGAATTATAAAAATCGTAGATCATATACAGTTACACTTGCTGCAATATGTTCTATGTTTTTCCCGTTGTTCCTTAGCCCGAAAATTCATAACTCCGTCGGAATTTGCCCCCCTCAAAAATTTTGATGGCCTATCTTCCACCATGAAACCCCCTTCTGGGCACCCTTACCCGTGCTTGGCTATGCGGATGATTTGGCCCAGTTAAGGGAAGACACGGAAACTATAAAACTGAATACGACAAAGTTAATGAAAGCCGGTAAACAACTTTGACTCGACATAAATACGGATAAGACAAAATGTATGGTTGACTGCAAAAATGGTGACAATTTCTATGATATCGATATAGAAGGGAATATTTTTGAACACGTAGAGAAGCTTAAATATCTACTGTTTACCATGACTAAAATAAATGAAATTGAAGATGAGATTAAGGTTAGGCTGAAGGCGACAAATGCTTGTTATTTTTCTGTGACAAAACTACTTAGCTCGTGCCTCCTGTCCCGAAACTTATAAACTAGAATCTATAAAACCATTATCATACCTATGGTTCTTTATAGATGCGAAACTGAATGAGCAACGTCTTAAGGTTTTTTTATTATTGTTAATTCTTTGAGATTATGACTTTAAATTTTAGTTTCCTTAAAAATTCAATTTTCACCATAAATTAAATTTATATTGCCTTGATTAAGGTTATAAAAGTTTTATTTATGACGAATACATGATTTCCAATCGAAAATTATTCTCAATAAATGTTGTCCTCCTAGATCGACTATCGGCAGCACTGCGGTGGTAAGGTGAGGAAGTATTGTAGCCATTGAAAGGAACACCTGGTCTACTTACTACCTGAAATAGAACCTTCTTCAAGGGCCTTTTCTCAGAGGAATCCATTGAATTTTTTAAGAAAAAATAATGTCAGAAAATTTGAATAAATACTTTTATTTTTCGAATATAGATAATCGTTATAGTTATTGTGATATGGTTCAACTGTAATAAATAAAATTAAAATAGAACAACTTAGTGGGAGTGCTATTTCATCTATCAACCAACAAAGATGTTGGAATCTAGATGCTGAAGAAGATTATCTCCGAAACGTCCAAACAAAAATTATGAAGAAAATACAAAAAATTATGAGTGTTTATGTCAAATTAGACCTGTGGGCAAGAAATGAGAATAAAATAGATAATGAAGAAAGGTAAAGACTATAAACCTATAATTATTTGTCATAGCCATACCAGAATCCTGGACCAGGAGAATATTTATTTATTTATTGAAGCCCTTCCGTGCCATGAGGATATATGGGTTTTACAGAACTGAGTTGTTACACATGACTGCATCATTACACACAACTTCCTACTCCTGCATGGTACTCATCAAATGAACCTTCTGTCCCTCCTCTTCGTCCCGGTTGTCTTCCAGGAGCTGGTCCTCTTCTTATGTATGAAGTTAAATTATGATGGACCTGTTGTTTCTTTCCACCCGTACAAAATTCCTTGAAGCACGGGTTCTTGTGTAACTAGCTGAGAAAAATCGTTCTCTGTGAGAACATAGAGACCGGTCTCCCTCAGTAATTTGGTCCGTAGCGACTCAAAGGCGGTTGGACGAGGAGAATAAAATCACAGTGCCTTACTCATTAAAATATCCTAATTTGTAATATTCAATGATGAAAATTAGCTAAGAAGAAGGTACTCCTTTTCCCCCTCTTCCCCCCCCCCCCGAGTTCAATGGTGCATAAATTCGCTCCCCCACTCCTCTCAAGATATATTATTGATATCTTCTTAAAAACAATGCACGCGAAAATAGATAATAGTCTGTTTCATGTTTTTCCGTCCTCTGGTAATAAACTTATCATTCCGAAAATTCATAACCCCGCCGAAATCTGCTCCCCACCACCTCAAAAATTCAAAACTCCGTCAAAATGTGTCCCCTCAAAAATTTTGTTGGCCCAACTTGTGCCATGAAAACACTTTTATAAGCACAGATTTTTTGCTTCCTCGCTGCCGAAGGTAGGAAAGCTTTGTGTCGCTTATGTTATTATTAATTATTTTTACAAGCAATTTTTAAATCAAAAGCACGGTATTTCTGAACAACCTAAACTGGAACGGGGCACCGTGCCTTTAAATCAATTCAAAAAAGAATAATCTTTTTCGCCTAAAACGTAAACGATGAATCATGCAACTAATAAGCATCTGTACTTGTGAATCTTTCCTATTTTCTTTATTTAGAGACTAACTCGTTCATTATGTTACTGA